ATAGGGAATAGAACGAATAGCTATTTATATTCATCAAACACATGTATTTATGTGCTTCATACATAAAGCAACAGTAGCGGTGGTATGGTAAACAAACAGCATAAAGTCTTCTGACCTATAGTGAGCTTCCGACACTGTAAAACTAAACCCTTTATCTACAGAAACATGGTTTAAAATTAATATCATTCGTAGAAATCTTACGACGTTTTATTTCTTAGCAGTTTACGGTTACTGCTATAATCTCAAAGCGGATCTGTGTATGTCTTGTGTAAACCTGGGCTGTAGATCATAAGGTGTACCGCAAGGAGTGTATCTAGGACCTTTACTGATGGGGCTGTCTTGACTAAGATATGTCTTATAATATCAGCAGATTTATTAGCATTTTCGTTGTGTTTAGCCTTTTTAACATTAAAAACATAATGATAATCATACACGATATCTGTTAAGTGATTTAGCTTAACCCTCTATTATGACATATAAAAAAACAAATACTTGCTGTTTGCATCCTAATTCTAAACCACTGCTTCGAAATTCCTCAACGTCTACTTAAACATTGTTTTGGCAAACACACTGTCGTATTGAAATTGGGATACAAACATACATAAATCATTGAATATAAACAAAACTTTGTGCTGCGCGTGAGTTCATGTTGGCTCCTATTTGTTTTACGATACTCCAAGATTTATTTACTATTAGTAAAGATAACGGTTAGTTTAATTACTTTGCCTGTTTTATGTTTGACCAAGTTGCTGTTTTGTGTAAACTTAAATACTTGCTAAGTCGTGGTTAAACTTACGTTGCGTACGTGATGTTACTATTAAATGGATAACACTAACGTAATATTGCATTGCTGGTTTTATCATGTTCTCGTGTTCATCCAATGGCCTAGTTTCATTCGCTGCACAAACTTCCTGTGAGCTTAGCTCGAACCCAATTATTGTAAATGGTGCCTTGCCTACACATGTTTGTCCTTTGACTGACCATTCGCAACTACTTATTCTATTTACTGATCCTATTGGAAATAAGTTTGTTTTCTAATGTTTGTCACCAGTCTAACGCTAAATTTGTTATCTGCTGCTCTAAAATATAGACCTCTCACAATTCTTATGCGTATAATATGACTGCACGGTTGGTGTGGTGGCTGGGCAACTGGATGCCGTGCAACGTGTCGCGGGTTCGATTCCCGCACGGAACAACTCTTTGTGTGATCCACAAATTGTTGCTCCGGGTCTGGGTGTCATGTGTATGTGAAATTGTATGTTTGTAACCGCACCCACGACACAGGAGAAAATCCTAGTGTGGGGCAACGTTTTTTAAAAAAAAAATATATGTATCAAGACAATTCATTAATATTATGTCATAAGTACACATACACGAAGGCTTCAAAGAATTGAGTAAAGCAGTCGAGCGTAGTACAAAAGCAATAAAATTGGCGAGACGACCTACATTCATAATTTACAATTTACCAAGCGATCGTTCCAGTTTCTGGATCGTATTAACCCATTTATTAAATTTACATTGTATACAATGCGTGCTTCAATATTCATCAAAAAGATTGAAAAAAAAATACTTAGCAGTATCTTTTTTCCATAGCAAGCGATTTAACTGTGTCTTCAATAAAGAAATTACATTTTTATAGATAACTGCTTTCTTTTAAAACTAGTTCCCCTCGTGTTCAAAAATATTGCTCTTTACGACTTAGTTATGTATCGTCACTAACTCATTTATGACAACTTAATCTTAATGGGCCTGCTTCTACGAACATATGTGAACGCGTTACTATTCAAACTTCTTCATTTAACTCTTTATAGCCTTTATAGTTATTATCAGTGGTTCGAACTACTAAATTACTTTCACTTGAACTGCTTTTGCTGTTTGCGTTATTTGATACTATCTTATCTGCCTTCTTCGTCCCTTGGCGCACACGTTCATATTCTGTTACGCTGAGCTGTCAACACATTATACTGTCGACTCTGTCGAGACGGCCGGCGCAGAAACTGTCTGCCACCATAAATAAACTATCTTGTCCCACATAACTGTCGATAACTCTGAGAGAACTAACCAATTAGTAGGGGGACCTTACGAAACAATATTGTCATAAACAACCGAGTTAAATATTACAAAACTCAAGACTTAATCGTGTATTGTTTATGTGAACAATCTTTTCACGTGCATGCATTCACTTTATTATTTCATTCATTCATTGCATTATTTATTAGTTTCTTTTAACTAAGATAAAAAGATTTATCGAACGTGCGAAATCCCTTTAAGACATCTAATATCCTGTTATCCCCATGTTCTTGGAACTTATTTTCTTATCGATACATCGGAAAAAATCGATCAACAGTCGTCATACGCATTAAGATCTATATCGAGTAAGGTGGTGTACTATAAATGTATGGTATCGACGCCTCAACATTGGCTACAATCGCCCTTATAAGGACCAACGCAAGTTACCACAGGAATAACTAATTGATCTATGAGATCCTTGAGCATGAATACGATTAAATGAGTGATCGTTAAAATATTTTGTTATAATTATAAAATATTTTAACAACTGCGTTTAACCGTTTCACCTTGTAGTTATCGGTTACGCTTATCTTTTAGTGAATTATCTTAAATATAAACATTGCATTGGAATTGCAAATACATTATCAGAATCTGGTATATGTGGTACTTGCGTACATCCTCCTTATTTGACTACGGCTTCATGCTTAACGATGTCTCTCTTTTGGATACGGCGACATTTTAGCGAGGCTTCTTCGCGTTATAAGAAACATGTTTCCAACAAAGGAATTTTAGAATCCTAAAGTATTTCTTGTGCAAGAAATCACGCTACGTGATCGGGGTGGTAGAATCGCGAAAGCTGTAGATGCGAAACGCGTCTATCCAACTTATCTGCGAACAAATATGGTCATACACTCCGCAGGAGCCGAACCTACTACTCGTATCTATGTGCATTGTTACAAGCAATGTGTTTACATGAAGATAATGATGAAGTATTTTGTTATGTTTATGCTATGCATTGAATAACATAATTAAAATTCTAAAAGGAAACTCTTGAGTACTCACTTGCACATGAGATGATAATGTTTGAATTTTTCTAAACTATTTGTGTTCAACGCATTGCATTCAAAACAAATGATATTCAAATAAATAAACAGATGACTGTTGAAAAGCTGACTGCATCGCTCTACTCTGCCGATGCACATTTTGACATTGTGACTCATGTGCTGAGTACGGGTTATGCGGGCCACGTTAAACATGTTCTACTCAGGTCATACAATTTAATCATCGATGGGATGACGTCACCATTATTATAGTAAAACGTGATTACCGTCTGTCACGTTTTTCCTAGAAATAAATATAACATTGAATCGGTTTCCCTGTAACATATTTTATGATTTAACTACTAACTGAAGTCTACGCAGACAGAAAATAATCATTGTTGTGTTTCTTTTGTCTTTCATTCAGAATACTTTTTTTTACAGCTGCAACATAAGTTAAAAAATATTTCATCTCCGATAGATAGCCTTTATCTTTTATGGTTTTCGTTTTCTGACCTGCAAATTATATCAAACATTTAGACATCATTGACCCCCTTTTAGACCTCATTATCGTCTGTGACCACATTTGGCTTGTTCTGATTGTCTGATGTCAAGTCTACATTTATACCTTGACACAAACACTCCAATACTTCCAATTTATTCTCGTCATTCCCAACAACTTTATTTATAACTGCAGCAGACAACAATTCATCATGTTTATAAATATCTGTTCTAGTTACCGAACAATGTTGTTTATGCACTTTGTTTAGAATAAAACAAAGAGTTCGGATAGGTGACGGTCTTACATGACTGCACATTACATGACCAGAACTAAGAACATGTCATTATAATGTTATAATGGAATTCTGATAGGTTAAGAATGAACACAGTTGAGAGGTCAATGCTAAATAATAAAACTTGTTCTATAAGGCCACTGTTCAGTTATTAACTTGGATCTTTGGATGTTCTGCTCCGTTTTGCATGCACAATAAATAAATGAAGCGATTGGAATCTAAATACTGGCCAGCACTTGAACAGCTACTGATTTACTGCCAGTCCACGCAAACATCTACCTAACGGATTCTAGTAAATTATTATATAAATATTCACGTAAGGACGTATTTACAATGGCGACACAAAAACAACAGTTTTCCTTTATACTTACTACTTAACTGTTTTATGAATAAATTCTACGTAATACAAGAGATCGCCATCAATTCTAAGCAGAACAAAATGAATCGGTCCAATGAACTTGAAATCAAAGCGCACCTTAAAAGTGTTTCAATCTATAAGGTTTTTCTTAGTATGAGTCATAGCAAATTAGATGTTATAGTTTGTTCGACTACGGCTACAGTTCATGTGACTCACGGTTCAACGGAAGCGAAACAAAATGTACACGACAGCAAAAACCAGTATGTCCGTAGCTCCCCTGCACGCTCATCTTGCGGTAGAAAGGGTTACCGAAGCTCTACAATGTTTTACAGTTTATCCTTTCGATCGTTTTTTCGTCGACGGGTTCATTCGCCAGATGATGAGATTTCTTTCACTCATTCCTAATGACAGCCATGTGTATTTAGAGTGTTGGTTACACTTAACTCCTTCATTCATTGTTTCTACTCGATCTAAAAAGGTCTTGTTATTCTTTTGTTACCAACACTTAGTTATTTTTACAGCTGGCTTTATAGCGTTTTCTCTATGTTTTGTTTTATTATAGTCCTCAAGGGCATGATGGTTTATGAAGAAACTTGGCATTTTATTTAATTACGTGCTAACTTTCACGAATAACTATCCACCTTTGCTAGACATATGATCAGTGTTGCAAAGATTTTTACACATAGCTCGCAAAGTATTGCAAATTGTCTACTAGTTTATAATTTCAAAGTATCGACTTTCTTCTTATATAGATGTTGATCATCAATAGATGTCGCTACAATACTAACCTGTAATAAAATCATGGAGATATCAGAATTGTACGTCATGAAAATATGCGGTACGTTTAAAAACGTGTTCTAAAATCGCCACTAATGCAGGGAAAAATTTTAAGTCATATTTGCTACTTACATAATTTTTGCCTGTTTATCTATGTTAACCTTAATGTTTTTTAAACTTTTGTCATAATATTGTTTATTTATCCTATTTCAGAATTCAAAAAGGACTGGTCAGATCACGCACTTTGGTGGCCTACACGTAACAAATGGCTGTCTCGACCGAAGCACACATTGGACCAATACGGAGTCCATGCAGACGCCACCCTCCACTTCACTCCTATGCACAAACCAATCAGAATCCAGCTCCCGGACCTCAGATATATTGACTGCAAGATTGACTTCTCTATAGACACTTTTAGCGCCGTTGTGCAACTTTGTAAAAGCCTTGGTAAGTTCCTTTTCTAAGAAATAAATTCTTATGTATTGATTGATACATTTGTACTGTGGATCAATATTTTATTGACTGCTGATTGTAACACAGCAATAACAATTATTCACTATTGGAAAGCTGAATAATATCAAAAGATCAAGAATAAACGATGTTGTAAGAAGCCATCTCTAAGCAGATAAAACCACAAGATTCCAATTTAGATACAACCGAATTTTTTTTTTTTTTTGCCTAATCAAACCGTTAAAATCTTTATCGATGTTTTCCAATATAATTTTCTTCGTAGAACGTAAAGGTCTTATTGATTTTATATCGAAAAGTTTTACGTTTCAACACTTTGTAACGGTTAGTCGATTTACGATCTGACTTTTATGCCTTATTCGACTACAAGAACTAACTTCGAACATCAATGTACCTCTATTTTATCTCATCCAAATGTTAATGCTCGTAAAGTCGATCAACTCGTAAAACTTGAATGTTTATTCCGAAGGACCCATTCGATGTTCGCTCTTGATATTACCACTATTTAATATTGTATTTGTTTATGAGAACATTTGCCTTTACATGTTTGGGAGACGAAAATAGCTACTGTTTTTTTATAGCCATCTTTCAGATTTTTAGTGTGTTATTATAGCATATTTTCTTACTTCCAATCGGTTTTTAGACTAACCATTATACACTCATATTATATGCATTCAACGAAAACGTAGGCGACCGTATACTTTATAGACGATAATCTTATTTTCATTTGCAGGTATTCGACACCCAGAGGAACTTTCCCTCTGTTATCCCCTAGAACCTTCTCACCTAAAACAGAACTACCAGAACTTGAAGGAAGCAAAAAGGATAAAATCATCACAGCCTCCAGACACCAACACTTTTATAGCAGCCACAAGAGGCTCCTCAAATAGTTTGGACAGATCTAATGGACCCTGTCCTGCAACACCACCACCGCCACGATCACTATCCGCTACCCCTGTGGCACAACAAGTAAGTTTCGTATTAGCAATGTAGTTCTTAGATTATTAAAGAAGGGTCGAAATTACAAGCCATAAATGGAGATGGTCCCAATATCGCCCCTTGCGGAAACCTAAGAATAAACGCTCAATCATTGCAATTTTAAATTCGTAAACTGAATTTTATTATATCGTTTTATACTGCAGCCAGCAACAATTCTCAAAACTGTAACAAAAATTATTCAAAATGGCATGCTTGTAACAAAATCCCGGTAAATGAGCTCATTGGTTGGTTAAAGTTATTTTTAACATTTTTAATCATCGGTATAAACATAAATGGTGCAGGAAAATGCATCTGTTTCGTTTCATGTACTGTTTGTTTTACATGCATAAGTTTACTAATAAATGTTCCTGTTTAAAATTACTGTTGTTAAGCTATTATTTTTTACTGTTACTGCTACTGTTTTTTTCCTGCGAAGCGAGAAAACCCACTTTACATGACGAAAACGACACAGAGTTTAACCATCTCATAATAAAAAAAGCTCGATTGAAAAGCTGGCATTCAATATAATTTCATGTTTATTGCATTTGCGTACGCATTAAGTATTGTGATCATCAATATTTAACAAAAAATTTCTTTTTCCCCTTCCAGAACGGCACACTCCGTCGTTACGGAGGTTTGTACAGCACACAGAGTGACGGTTCGAGCGATGGAGGGTACGGTAGCACCCCGCCCAGAGCTGCCTCTCTAGACGCCCTAGATTCTCTAGCCGAGCTGTCTCTAGCAGACTCCCCCTTAGAGCCCGACAGCCAATCACGGGAGTCCCTTCTGACACCCAAATCTCTCATGGAACGCGCTAGAATGAATGTTGGGTATGTATAAATAACCAACCATATTTTTATAGCTTTTCCGCATACATATAACAATGACATCATCTTTTAAAATTATGTCATTATTGTATCAAAATACTCACACACAATACTATGATACTATTGAAATATGTATAAATTAAATGTTTTAAATTAAGTATTCAAATAATATGTCGTCATCAGACATTTTGACATCATTTGTTTTATGAAAATCGTTATAAATCAATAATGGCTTGATATTGTCGCTCGAAATTAATGGCTTTTTAATTTTAGAAATTTCGATAGAGCCGAGTTTAGAGTGTTGACTTTTGATGAGGTTAAAATTATTGATAATGAGGACTGTAGAAGTAATACAACAAAGAAACTATATTTATACAGAAATATTCTTACATAACTTTATTGTAAATAGTTAAAAAAATCTCAACACAATTTACCTTATAAAAACATGTTTTTAGAAAGACCTATTTTATGAAAAATATAGTTGTAACTCTGCCTACATCTTAAAAATATTAATTAATTAATTTCCAACAGTTGGCTGGACTCATCTCTGTCGATAATGGAGCAATACGTCCGAGAATGGAACACCCTACAGCTCCGTTTCAAATTCTACTCGTTCTTCGACCTGACTGCGCGTGCGCAGGACGCGGCGCGATTGAACCAGCTGTACCAGCAAGCCCGCTGGCAGATCCTTAATCAGGAAGTACAGTGTACCGAGGAGGAAATGTTGCTTTTTGCTGCATTACAGGTAAATATAAAGAAAAAGTGATTTTATTAACTAAGTGACAGCCAGAAATTAGTAGAAATAACCTAAGATTTTAAGTTAATTAAAAAATCATAATATGCCCAATTAAACGGCTATGATATCAGGTAGGCTCTATCGGTAAAAGCTGTAAGTTTTAGTCGTTGGATTAAAAGGGCGCGTCGGCCTCATATTTATGTTTAAAACTGAAATATGTTATCGACAAAATATTTAAATCTACCCACATATTTTAAAATTCACCCAATATTCAACTTTAAACCCTTAAATTTACAGCTTCAAATCGAGTTGCAAACCTTGGCTGGTGGTAGTTTGGACGCGACAGATGGTACGGCCACTTCCCAAGCGAATGCGCCAGAAGACGAAATTGATGCGGCACTTTCAGCCTTACAAACTCAACTAGAAGGAGGACCAGCCCCTCATAACGACATAACACATGTCCCAGAACTCGCGTCCTATCTTAAATACCTTAGGTAAGTCTTTTTTTTAAATTGAAATCGTATTTTCAACGTTGTAAGGTTGTTTTTGGTTTGTCTTACGTAGGTGGAAAGATTCTGTGTGTACGAATTTCAACTCTATGTTTAGATTTTTAGGTTATATTTCTAAGTGTCACGTACATACCCGACAACAATCATGAATATTTTTAGTAGGATAATATGTCTTCAAAATTAATGTTATTACTTCATATTTCATTCTAAGCATCTTTATATCTTTTGAAACATATTCGTCAATAACAATTCTAGATATCTATATAAGTACTTATAGTATTTACAAACGCTGGCAGCTCAACCTACCCCAATCTATCAATGTTTTCGTTGAATTTTAGACTTTATATCAAAACTTAAAGATTGAAAATCGAACGAAGAAATTTGGCAGAAGGTAAAAGCTTGATCTGCTGGCGTATAGACATTATAATCTATTATCTTTACAATTTCTATATATTTACATTCTATTTGTTTCTTCCATCTTGGCGGTCAGCAAGTGTAACAACGATTACTGTGCCTTCGCGTAAGATTCTTGTCATAAACCTCATACAAACTAATTTTTGTATTCCTGTCCAACCTTTTCACGTACTAATGAATACTCAAACGCTATATCTAGCTTGCTTCGATAGAAACAAGATACTTTGTGTAGATATTATATATTTTATGGATATTTTTACTGACTGCAATGTTGGCGCGGTGGCTGGGCAACTGGTTGCCGCGCAACGTGTCGCGATTTCCATTTTCGCATGATGTTCCGGGTCTGGGTATGATGTGTATGTTGAATTGTGTTTGAACGCGCATCCACGACACAGGAGAAAATCCTAATACTTCACCGCATTGGTGTCTAAATAATCTTAGAAAGTTCATGTAACTCGAAACGTAAAAGTCACATTGGTACTTGCCGGGTTTCACCACGAGATCCGTGGATAAAACTTAAAAATTATTTGCCTTTGAGTATTCTTATAATCGTTAACATTTATTCACATTAGAAATTAACTGTAGTCCAATAATTACCATAACGACACTCGATTTTGAACCCTAAAGCCTTTATCATTCGTAACAACACAACCAATTAATAAGTCACCTTCAAGTTCACGCGAATAGAGTTCAAAATCGATTGAACATACTGTGTATATTGTTTGTTTGATTTCCAAACTGTATTCATTGTTTTAATTGTATTTATATGTTGTTAGTGCATTGATAACAAGAGTATTATTTGGTTCCAATTAATATTATATTAACGATCAAACCTATCAACCGTATGTCCTAATACTTCATGCCTATTGTACGTATGTATGTACCTACTTACTTTTAATTTAAGTATATTTTTAACCAACTTCAAAAAAAAGAGGAGTTATATCAATTCTGTTGTCAGCATCTCAGAAATATAATTTGATATTGCAAATTTTATTCCCCTATGTAAAGTTATAAATTCTATGCTTCATTTTTTTGTTCTCTCGAAACAAAAATTGAGTCAAGTTATATCTTTGCCAACTATATTAAGTGCCTTTTGCACCATTATAACAGGTTATAGTAATTAAAAGCAGACCATTAATTACACTGCTTATTTGAAACTAAAAAAACTTCACAAAATTATCAAGTAAACACCTACCAACTAGATCATATTAAATAATAGTAATTATCATTATTCTTTCTTATCCCATAGGCCCAAACGTTTTACTCTGAAGGCGTACAAACGTGGCTGGGTGTCCTGTCGTGACGGTGTTTTGCGCATCCATTCTTCGCGCGAAGCCGCCGGAAGGGGCGAAGCCCCGTCCTACGCTGTAGAACTGCGTGGCGCTGAGGTAAGTGTTCTTGGTGACTTGTAACTGGTTTCAGTTGTAATATGGTGTGAAAACGTTAGCTGTGTGTTTTTCTATAAGGAAACGAACAGACACAGTGTGATAGAGCCATGCTTCGGCACGAATGGGTCGACTCGACCGGAGTGATCCCACGGCCTCACATAAAACCGGCGTGAAACAACTGCAGCGTTGTGTTGTTGTGTGTCACCAGCACCTCTCTCGTCTGAGTGCCCATCATTACTGGAGGGCCAATCCTTCCCCTCCCCAATCCCTAACACACTAACCTCACTTATGCTCATAAGTCATATATAGCGAAAAACAACGCAGAGGTGTTTTGACATCGGTTTTCTGTGAGGTATTACTCACATCGACGCTCGACGACGATGGCTCGCCTACCTTATTTGGGACAAGTTTATAATTATGAAAATAATGTGGTTTCGTATTTATATATTTTATATAATGTGGTTTACTGGTAAAACCAAACACGGCAAACAGTCCATATAAAATGTGCAGGAAACAAAAATAGTTTCTAAAATCAGAACTTTATTATTTTATAGCTTTAATTCTACAGAATTACTAATTTAGAAATAGTTATTAGTTATTTACTTTATGAAAATTAAATGTATTTTCTCAACTACGCTTTTTTTATAAAATGTGTCAGGCTGTCGCTCAGTCCAATTAATGAAATTATTTGCTCATTCAAAAGTGCACATTCTTATAGAGTAGGACGAGCAAGAAACGCCTTTTTTGTTATAAATATAATATTAAGTTCCAATATTTGAGAACAGTGTAACACCAGCACTCAACTAAAAAGACAGAAAAAGAAAATAACTTCAAGGTAGACAGTTACTAGTAGGAGGTTACTAAAAGGAAGAGTGGGATGTCCTAAAAGGGCATTCCATGTTGCATCGTCTATACTTAATTTTAAGTTACTGAATAAGCATTATTACTTGTCCCGAGTAAATTAAAATGGCTTTCAAAAAATAAAACAAAATAAAAGCGAAAGATTAAACACTACATAGCATCATTTTACTTATTTTCATATATAAAAATCAAGATGATAATGAGAATCTATGTTAACAGGTAACTCCAGACGCTCACCCAGCGTCAGGTCGCTACAGCATCAAGCTGGAGGTGCCCGCTGAAGATGCCATGCACGAAATGTGGCTCAAATGTGAAAACGTGAGTATTCAAAAATATTGCAAACTAGCTTTACTTCATTTGATTGTAGCGTGACATTTTATAACCAATCAGAGCGCTGAAGGTCATAAAAGTGTAGAGGGCAGAAATAAACTCACACATACTTTGTAAGAAAACTAATACTTTACTATTTTACTGTACCTACCTTTTTTTGTTTGTTTTTTTATTGACGTTTCGTTAAACCTGTCATGGTCGATGAAGGTGGTTGATCTTCATTTACCCTCGATGTTGACAAATGACCACTACAGCCGCGTACACAAACTACATTACTATTCTGAAAATTTACAATCACTGGATTCCATGAAGCCGACACGTTAAATTATTGTTATCGATTGAAATTCTTGTGTTTTTTATTCTTAATCGCTTCACGCATAACTCTTGAGTAAAAATGGCGATCAGTGGAGAGGAATTGTGGACGATGAAATTCGATCCAATGATTGATCCCGTAAAACAATCAAAGTAAACGCTAATATTTGCTACCAAACATCAACTCTTCATTGCAGGAGGATCAATACGCAGAATGGGTAGCGGCTTGCCGTTTAGGTTCTAGAGGTCGTTCCCTAGCAGACGCGGCTTTCGCGACAGAAGCTGCAGCAGTACGGTCCTTGCTGCAGCTGCAGCGGCCGCAACCAGCCGCAGCCCTGAACCAACACTCTTTGCCCCATTTAGACCATCTCCAGCCAGAGAACTACCTCGCACCACGGTTCCTCAAGAAGCTGAAGAGCAAGGTAATTACTGTAATATGCACTTTATTTGTGTTGATGTAAAGTTGAAAATGGTTTGTCTAGAGGTTATTAGGGTAGTTTAAAATAACAATATATGTAAATTTTTTTTATTAAAGAAATATAAAGTTATGGTGCGGGTACAGTCATGAAAATATTACCCCTCTCAAAAAACGTATACTTGACTATCTTGCGCTTGCGCATCAACTATATCAACAACTATAGAACTACTTGAGAATATTTTTTCTGAGATTCAAGCCTTCTTGGTATTAAAGAAGTCTTTCTCTGCCATTTGTAATACCTATACACCTGCTTCACCACTTCAATAATCTTATTATCACTGGATTTATATGATATTCCTTTAGATTGTTTCAATTGCGGTATATGCTCAAATTTATCTATTACATAGTAGATATTCCGGTATTGCGAGAGAGTTCTTTTCAATATTTTCAAGCTTAAGGAAAAGTATACTACTCGAATTTGTCAGACTCTATTCTAAAAGTATGACCTATGAAAGTTTGTTATTTTAACAATTTTACCTTTTACTCCACAGTTCACACAGCGCGTCCTTGAAAGCCACGCCAACGTGAAAGACCTACCGCTTCTCGAAGCGAAGTTGCAGTACATTAAAACTTGGCAGAATCTCAGAGACTACGGGCAGACGATGTTTGTCGTGCGTTTTATGGGACATAAGAGGGACGAAATCATCAGCATTGCTAACAATAGGATCATGCGGCTGGACCCTAACACCGGGGACCATATTAAGACTTGGCGGTTTAGTGATATGAAGGTGGGTGATCCTACTAATATTATAAATGTGAAAGTTTGTGAGAATGTATGGATGTATGCTTGTTATTCTTGGCGCAAAAACGGATGGACTGGTTTGGTTGATTTTTTTATGTGGATAGGGGATACCTTGGATTAACACATAGGCTTTTTATCCACCACGCGGACAAAACAGCCAACTGAAGCTGGTCAAAAAGGTGTTTTATAAAAAATATCAAAGAATTTAATGTTGTTTTTTGCTATATGAGTGGGGAGGAAATACATATGTTTACTAAATACCGTTTAGTTTGATAAATAATTTAAGGCTTGCCCCAACTGCAGTAGGTTAGCCAATGTTTTTCTTTTTAGTTGTCATTTCATTTCTTCACTTTTACTACTTATCTTATTCCATATTTAATAATATAACAAATCATTCTTTATTTTAAGGCATGGAACGTGAACTGGGAGATCAAACACATGATGGTGCAATTCCAGGAAGGCAACATAATATTCTCAGTACAGTCAGCCGACTGTAAAGTGGTCCACGAATTCATTGGAGGCTACATCTTCCTGTCGATGCGCTCCAAGGATGCCAACCAAACGCTAAACGAAGACCTCTTCCATAAACTGACCGGTGGATGGACGTAAGACAAACTAAAAACTCCTTAGTAAAGTAAGCAATTAAAAATATTTAATAAACTACTTTGACAACCTTTTTGTAGGAAAAAACTTTTTATTGTAACGTGCAACATTAAAAACTTAGTTTCAAGTTATATTTGTACAACAATTGTGTAATTATTAATAATTGTTTAAGACGGAAAGGGCCTTGGTTACGTGCCTTGACGATGTGCTAAAGTTTATTAGTGTATAGAGCTATAGATATTTTTGTACCAAGAAAATGCATTCGTAATAATCTATTTCTTCACAAAATATTGTTTTTTAGATCTAATTAATTATATTAGTGCTTCCAATAACTTCGTATATGTAAATGCCAAATACATATTTGACACAGATTATAAAATTAAATGCTTAGATACCTTGCATCACTTTTATTTAATAGTAGTTTTAAGGAACATGCGATGGATATGAGCTTTTAAATAATGTTAGTTTTGTTTTTAATGTTCTTTTTTGTAACATAGTAACATTGGATCCTTATAGTGCCATTAATTGACATAATAACATGGATGCTAAGATCCATATGGTGCTGTATCATTCAAATTTATGTGTTTATACATAACATTGAGTGGCCTTAACATTATGATACATAAGATATTTACTTAACCTTATTTATCGATATCCACCGACATAAAGTTCTTATACAGTTTTAAAATCCACAGATAATCAAAAATAATCGATTAATAAATATTTATATAAGAACTTTATGGTTGGGATAGATTTTACGTAGTTTATGAAACTGTAGATAACAAATTTTATCTATGCTCAGGTTTTTTTTTTCAAACTCGGACTTGTGGTATAAAAAGTCTGTATAAAACAGCTTCATAAACTACTTTAGTTCATTGTAAATAACATTTTTGTACACTTAAATATTGAAACTCTACTCATTTTTATTTTTGAGCAAGCTTTGTTATTGACAACAAAAAGAAAAATGAAGGATATTTTCTAAAATTTTTGATAAAACATCCTTATAATTTTGTAGAATTTCAATATCTAAGTGTTACCAATTAACAATAAGTTATTTTATACCAGTGACAAAAATAATTTTAGATTAAAATCTTTTTGGCTTCATGTTGTATTGTATACCTATTAATTGCAAAGATTATTTTATTATTGACTACTAGTCTTATTGAGATCGCATAAAATGCCGTCATTTTGTTTTTTTATTATTATTATTATCATCTAGATACGGTTATTAGAGTTATTATGAGTATTAACATTACTTTGTCATTAATTGTGGATTTCTTGTACAAATTGTAATGTACTTTTTTTAATTAATAATCTTTGAGTATGTTTGTAAATGAACGACCGTAATAAATGTAAATTAATAACAAATTTGAGCTTTGTTTTGAGGTAACAATGTCCCCCCATTGACAATATATTCAAAAACATTGTTAATTTTGAAGACTTTTAATATAAATAATACTTAAAATAAATAGAAGTTGAAAAATTCATTCATCGAGATTATTAAGAAAAAAGGTTAGCAGTTAAAAAAGAAAATGAATATTTAAAATTGCGAGACCACAGACACAATATTTAAGAAGTAATTTCGAATTAATGTCGTCAATAATCTCACTTAATAAAAAAGATAATAAAATAGACTAGAAGTCGCGAACCGTATTTAATCATATAAATACAAAATTATTTTTAAACACTTAAAAAACATTGCGCTTTAAGCACAACTCGGATTCTTTAGCCGACAAAAAGAGTAACAACCTATCTTAAACACCTATTTATTTTGCTGAGCAAAAACCGATCTTATCGTCTTAAAATAGTACAAAAGATTTTGAACCCTATTGAACCGTTTTTAGGTCTACATTGAACAGGAATTTAAAAAAGTCTATCCGTACATTACAATGTATCGTTGATGATATGCCGACACTGTAGGATTGATCTCAGGCATTGTCATAACTACTGAACATGATCCCGATGGGTTGACTCCAAACACTGACCCAGTTTGGGACCATAAGACCTTGGTATTCTGGTAATATTTTCCATCACCCACTATGTGTAATTCTTCTACAGATAATATATCTGTTGATGTGTCCCCTGAACAAGTAACGGCGATCAGACGATAACCTGCAATGTACCACAAACCATAATTTATATAAAAAATAATTGCAGCATCAAAGCTTAAACCATTTATTCCAACTAAACCATAAATAGGTACTTTTGAAACGTCAAAATAGAACAGAAGTCTGTCAGTCAGTGAAGCTAGGTGCTGAATGTATTGGTAAGTGCGTAACGAAAGAACGCCTGGACTATATCTTTGTTAATGCCAGAAGAAGGTTAAATTTTAGTAAAGTAGTGGGGAAATGGCGATCTTTCCATCGTTAGCGAGATAGTTGGTCACTTATGCGAAGCCGGGGATATCAGTATAATTATACAAAGATGCTTTTACTCACTAGGAGAGATAATAGATATTATCTCTAAATAATATATAATATATGTGTAAGTTCTGCACGGTATCGAGATCATTTCATTTATGGAGATGATATTAAAACTAGTTGCCTATGGATGGCCATAATGGACTGTAATACTTTAAGAGTAGATTAAAATTGCATTGATAATACTTAACAAGGCCTCTTAGGAACCTTTTTTTTAGAATATAGGTACTTAATTTAGATGATATCTTTACTTGAATATCCCCATCATCTTTACTGTATACTTAGAACTAAGTATAGTATTCCGAAAAAATCAGTAATCAACTCACCTAAATTACAAATAGCTTTAGGAGGGTGGCAGAAGCAGGCAATTTGCTGCAACGCCTCATCCACCCCAGGTCTGAACCTATATAGGTTCGGGAAGTAGCACTGAGCTACATAAATATACCCTTTAAAAGACACTAGGTAACTTGGCGTCATTTCCATTCCAAGGACCTTTGTCCATCGATCTCTGTCGCCCACTTCTTCGTATTTATAAATGTTTCTGTGCCCTATGACGTAGACCTCGTTGTTGTGGGCGCAGACAGCTGGAGACTGCACTGCGTCGGGCAATTTCGCTATTGGCCTAAATGACCTCTCTTTTAAGTTGTATACTACTGCGGAGTCTAACACTACCCTGGAAAAAAGTTGGTTGATTTCAATACGTATGTTTGTTTTGTAATTGTGCGCAGTGAGGACTGAGTTCAATTCTTGCTGCGTCAGTTAACATAGGGAAGGAACTACATATACCATAAAAATGTAACTGTGTCGTATTTATAGTGTTAAAACATCTCAAAAACAGTTACTGTTCTTATCACACTTTGTTGCTTTGCTTTAACAATGAAGGTCAAGGTCACTTGATTTTTATCAGCGAGGAAAATGTGCTTTAAGAAATTTCGAACTCAACAAAAATGTCAGCGCCAATAAGACACACCGCAAAGTATGGGACAACATAAAATAAAACATCTTATATGCAATTTGAAATTAAGTATATTTTAGCCACAATTTCTTCATCTGTTACCTATTATTTCATGGAGATTACGAAATGAAAAATACATAACGACGCTATACGTTTCCTGTAATTGTCACGTTTTATATTTATTTGCTGGGTACATATATTTGTTTTGCTAGATCAGTATTTAGCATTCTGTGTATTTAGGATGCAAAAGTTCACTTTGCCTAATGCTCAGAGTCTCCATTCTCATTGGTTGCAAAACTTCTCTTTGTAATATAGCAGCCAATTGAATTATTTTATCTAATTCTTCGTCGCTCATCCCAAAATTTAAATTACAATGAGGTATTTTCTTCATGTTCGACAAAAGCCAAATTAGATTTTGTAATAGCGACAAAAGTGCAGCAATTTGTACGGGAGACAACTCCAAAATCGCGAGAATTAATTTATTCACATTTTCGTTATTTGAAAATGCATCATTCTCGTTGAGTTTTAAAATTATCTTCTGGTCTATTGGCTGTATAATTGAGCTCGCAGGCAGGCCACATTTTTTAAAGAAATAATTATTCGCTTTTGATATGATTTCTATTTGAGAAGACAGCATTAAATATTCAGATTTATAATTTTCCACTGCTTTATGTAGAACTATTGGGGAGGTAAACAACGTTGATAAATCTGGTAACACAGGGGCGCGCGATTTTGGAAGAATATTATCAAAAATCGGGCTTGGTTTTCCTGGTAAAGTTTTATTAGGTAATTCTCCAGGTTTAACAGGTACAGGGACTTCAGGCAAGTCTGGTATAGGTAAATCAGGTGCAAAGGGAATGGTAACATCTGGGAATCCAGGAACTGGGATGCCTGGTAAGGGATCTTCTGGCCTGGCAGGTTCTGGTATTTCGAGAGGATCAGCTGCTTCCTTTCGTTTCGGTTTTGCAAGATTCATATCAATCCCTTGGGCAGAAGCTGAATGCACCTCTGTAGTGTCTGATTTGGAACAAAAGCATCTTGCCCTTATATTCATTATGTTCTTAGCAGCTAACCAACTTGAAGAAAACATTCTGTCAAGGATCATCGCCTAAAAAGTAGAAATTAGAAAGATTGATTACCTGAATCTTCTTTTTTTTAACAAAATGTTATTATTAAATATGGTAATACCGTGCAGGGTAGTTTCATTTCATTTATTGTTCCTACAGCTGGTGTTGCCATGCTTGAGCTGCAGTAAAAACTTCCATGAGTATGTTTGTAGCACTGTTTCTGGGCAGATGTTACATTTTTTTGATTTAAATGGTGTCCAGAGGAAATTGGTCTTTTAAATGTAATCTGAAAAATACAAATATCGATTATATTATGGCAACTGTTATGGATATATCATATAAGGATACAATCTATTACACGAAAAAAATCAAGAAATGGGTAATATTCTTAAAGATATACTTACTTGCCTAGTTTGTAATGAGGAACTAACGATTTTTAATGTAGACCCAGCAGCTTCTTGCAGTAACGGACATCTCAATTTAAACATGTTGTCCAATCATACCTTATATTACTTTATATAGCTTATATACTTTTTTATTTATACTTATTTACTTTATTCATTCGATATTAAACTACACATTCTTGTACACATTGGAAATGCTTTAGTGTTTGAACATTTTGTTACTATTGGAATTTTTCAGTCTAAAATTATACTAGTTATTTTTAATTATTTATTTTTTAAAGAGCATTTTGTTCATTCTTTAAATGTTCTTGTGGTTATTGTGAGATCATTATGTTTTGACATACATCAATCAATTGCCATAAGTGTCAATGTAATTTTTATGATTTAGCAACCAGCCAGTGTCCTTTCTTATTAAAAAACATATTTACCATAAATTGATTTAGTAATGTAAGAAGACTAATACAGAAGTCTTTAAACACCAGTAATTATTATATAGCTAATTTATAAGTAATTAGAAAAATGAACTTACCGGAATCCTCCGACACCTCCAAGCAGAAATAGTGAATCATTAACCACCACAACACCTGCATGTCTTCGCAACGGCAATTCCACTCCATGTTGAGTCCATTCTTTTTTGTAAATATCATAAACTTTCACATCTCTCATAAAAATTCCAGAACCTCGCCCGTATTCACCGCAAACCACCACAATTTGGGTGGGACTCCAAGCAGTTATGTTCCAACCCCAAAGGTTTCTTTCAGCTACTTCCATCCACCTTTGGAAACCAGCTTCTTCTGTATATGTAAATAAATAATTCTGTGACACTTCTGGCTTTTTGTCCTTATTTGACCACATTGGCACCGTCGGTATAAACCTTAGTTTACGTTCAATACTCTCTTTAACTAAATTAAACACTTCTGTATAAACTTTTTCCGTAAACTCTTGACATAGTTCAGTTTTATTCTGCCTTATAGTATCGAGTGACAAATCATACTCTGACACCAATTTATATAGACAGTCAACCACTTTTTCTGCTAAACTATTAGTATAGTCTTTTATTAAGTCTCTTATTTCCCTTACTTCTGCATATGTAATTCTTTTCAGGTCTAAGCAACAGAGAACTACTAATAGTGTGTCAGCACCCATTTCATGTTCTTGTAGCCACTTCAAACCGAATTTGAATACTTGTATTTCAGATTCTATATTTAAGTATGGATGTGCTAAGTACCAATATAATTTATCTAACGATTGAATATACTCAGTCTTCATTATGTGAAATGAGAAAAGTCCATATATAACAGTGCTTTGCTCCAGTTTCACTAAAGCTGCATTGGATGCTATTTCTTTAACTTCCAACCAATTTGCTAATGTTAGCTGTTGTTCCAAGCAATAGTCTATTTGTTTGGTCAATTCTGTTATCTGTAGAAAACTTGCGGCTACTGCTAGATCTCCTATGGTTGGGAGGTCAAATTCTGATAAATCAATTAAACCTATGTTCATATATCTCATAATGATACTCATAGAAGCAGCATCCACTACCTGTAAAAGTACATATATAAGTTCAAATGCAATCATACTTTTCTTGTTTAACTAATTTATTTCTTTAAAATCAAGTTAAAAGTTATTAAAATCATTGAATTAAATTTATTAAATATAACGAAATCAATACATAAGCTTTTTACTTCAGTGAAATTAAATTTTAAGATCGATGTGTTTTTTTTTTTTTTTTTACTTGCAATAAACCAGTGCTTGACTGCGATCCCACCTGATGTTAAGCAGTGATGCAATCGTTGATGGTAAGGCGCACTAGTTTATTAAGAGCCTATTCACTCTAGCCTTGAAGACACCTAAGTTGTATTCGGACGGAAAGACTGCAGCCGGCAAACTGTGTGTGTTTATCAAGATATATTTTCGACTTACCGCCAATTTTAATAGTGCACTTTAAATGTAGAAAAATGCCATTAAGTAATAAAAATTTCGCTTACCTCGATAAATATTTGCTTTCGCTCCCTTTCCACATAGTCTCCAGTAAACATAGCTCGGAAAAAATCACTATGTTGTATAAGATCATCCCTCTTTGCTTTAAACACTTGATCGTCAATTAATAACGAAATTTCCGGATTACTTTCATCCATTTTAATAACTTATAAACTTATAAAAGAATGTATTAAATTACTGCAACTAATCTAGAATCTAGAAACTTTCGCTTGAAAGTTTTTAACTTTAATTTGTAAAGTAAATTTCAAATTATAATGATTAGGTATAGTTTCACCGGTCAGCTTGACTTAGGTATCAAATGTCATTATTTTGGACTTTTGACATGATCAATCAAATTATCAGCTGATATGATGGATGGTGGAAATAAACTGAAAAGTATCTTGAAGTCGATTTTAGGACTTAGTTCTTTCTCCTTAACAAGTTCATTTTAGTACAAAATATAGTATATTATTATTTAAAACCAAATGATACCTATTTGTATGCTATGCTATGAATTAAATTTATAAATGTCTAAAAATATACAATAATACTGTTTCAAAAATCTCTTACAAAATAATCATTACACTGATTGCAACTGTTCAAATATTTTATTATTATCCTACCTTGTAAAAAGATTTAAACAGATTGTTTCTTAATTCCCACGTATTCCAAAACTGAATAACCTAAAAAAAAGTAAAATTTTGGATTTGGAGGGAATTTAGTACGAAAAAGAAACAATTTGACATTTGTTTTGTGACTTTTCGAAAACAAAAAGATCTTGTACTTCATACATGTTGAAACTTGAAGTTTCTCGGTTTATTTTACTGTAAAATCTGTAAATACTGTCATCAGAGTCATCTTATTTTCAGTGAATAAATATTTGTGTTCAAAGTGTTCTCAATTTATAAACGAAAACAAATAAAAGATTGAGTACGTGCGGTAAAATATCGACAAGGACAATTTGTTACAAAATTACCATACAAAGATTAAATGTGTCGGTGATATTGAATTGTTGTACAAGATGACAGCTACAGCATCTGCAGTTACTGCCTCTGTTGATGAAGATTTGGATGAGTGTGGGCCTCAACTTATAACGAAGTTAGAGGTAAGAAATCCTAACAATATGGTAGCTTATTCTAGTGTTGACTTGATATCATTTGTTAAGTATTCTAAATACAAGTCTCTACTGTGATTTAAGGTTTGGTCAGTCCTAATACACTGATTTGTTAGTATTTGTATCATGAATATCTAAACAACTTAAGCATATCCACTCTAAAAGGTAATGAAAGTTAAACACTAATCCACCTCATAGATGACCCATTTTGATCCACTGTTTCATTTATATTCCTTCCTTTTGCCTTAGGGCAATGGCATCACATCTGGAGACATCAAAAAGTTAGAAGAAGCAGGTTACCATACTGTAGAGTCTGTAGCATATGCTCCAAAGAAATGGTTGATCACTATAAAAGGCATATCAGAAGCTAAAGCTGACAAAATACTGGCAGAAGCATCTAAATTAGTGCCTATGGGCTTTACAACTGCCACAGAATTTCATCAAAAGAGGTGAGGTTGTTCAAGATGTTATTTTTATGATGCTCTTCACTGTAGTGTAAGCAATAAAGCTTTAATTAATCTTCTGCTACTGATTTTGCAATTATTATTAAGCTATTTTTTTAATTATTATTATTTGACCTTATTTTCCAGATCAGAAATAATTCAATTGACAACAGGTTCAAAAGAACTGGACAGACTTCTTGGTGGAGGTATAGAAACTGGGTCTATTACGGAAATATTTGGAGAATTCAGAACTGGGAAAACTCAAATATGCCATACATTGGCTGTTACATGCCAGGTAATATGGTTCATCATAACTTAGGTCCATGTCTTAAAAGGGTGGAACTTCCCTTTTTATTTGTATTATGACCCTAACTATGTTTTAAGTAAAGGAAAATATCTATCTATCGATAAACATAAAAGATCATCATCAAAGATACAGTAGACAAAGGGTTGAGCAAGGGTAGGTTCTCTAACTGACCAGACACAAGCATATGGCGCAAAGTCAAAGTCAAAATCATTTATTCCAACTAAACCACAAAAAGGTACTTTTGAAACGTCAAAATAGAGAAGTAGTCTGTCAGTCTGTTTTTCAGTGAAGCTAGGTGCTCATTCCAAATTGTAAATTCGAATGGAGAAGAATGAGCAAACTTCATTCGATACTCTTTTTTAAAAAAAATTGTTTTACAATTTCAATAATATAACATTTATAGTATACATAATTGTACCCCTATGTGAGAACAATACAGAGACAAGTTGTTAAAAAAAAGAACAAATGAGGGGACCTATCATAAAATTTTACTCCTTTGTCGTCTCAAACATGGTGCTCACATATACGTACTCACAATCTTTAAGAGTGCTTCTATATAAACTTTTTGGATATATAAATTAAAGATGCATTATTTTTGAGGATTTTACCTAACTGCTGACTATATTTGAGTATTGTCCAGTGGAGCCGAATCAACACGCTGCCAGGCATTCTTATCCTCAATATAATCTGAAAGTTTGTAGTATGCCTGTCTACACAATTCGCGTTTAATATAAGTTTTAAATTTTCGTTTGTTAAGATTCAATACAGTACTTGGAATTTTATTGTAACAATTTATGTATTTCTGTACTTTGGACAGACGGAATCGTGGCACACCCAGCCTATCTTTGCCTCTTGTATAAAAAATTATGTCTATCGCTTCTTTTTTCAAATAATTGCAAATTTTTCCTTACATACATAATATTTTCATATATAAACTGACAAGGCGCATAGTGTAAATCGCCACCAATGGGGTTCAAGGGGGCTGATAATAAGCTAGGCTTGTGGGTCAAGTGTCTGCAATGCACAGCAACCTGTTCCTGAAATTTAGTCAGTAAAAGTCTAACAATCAGGGATTGTTTGACGTTGGGTGAAAGAAAAAAATATTTAGTAAACTAAGCTAAATATTTATAAAAACAAAAGTCTTTTGGTTTTTAATAGGTATCTAAAGAAATCATACTGTGATGCAGTCTTTGAAAAGAACCATTTTTAAGGACTATCTGAATACAATATTTTCTAAAATTTAACTCTTATCATTACAGCTCCCCATAGAGCAATCAGGAGGTGAAGGGAAATGCATGTACATAGACACAGAGGGTACATTTCGTCCGGAGCGGTTGCTGGCAGTCGCTCAGCGCTACGGCATGGATGGAGCCGCTGTCCTAGACAACGTCGCGTATGCTCGCGCGTATAATACTGACCACCAGACTCAGTTGCTGGTACAAGCATGTGCCATGATGGCAGAATCTCGGTATGTTATAGATTATAATATTTATTTATTGTGATTATGAACTGAATATTGTCACCCTAAGGTTGACTGGTAAGAATGCCTACAGCATTAAGTCTGCCTATGTAGATAATGTTTTGTTGCATAAAGTTTAAATAAATATACATTGGTGGTTTCTAGGGCTTACCAAAGTTATTGCAATCACATGTTTTTGCAGTCTGTGTTATTAACATGAATGTGTCTACAAGCGCAGGTGTCTACGTACAACTTTTTTTTTGAGGGTAAAATCATTAAATAGCTTTTAAACCCCCCTCCCCCTCCCTCTAGTTTCTTTTCCTGCTGTGGGTCGAAGCCGCGCGGTGCCTCATTGCGCTTACCCCGCAACCCCTTCTAAACATCAGCCCTATGGGGTCCCGTCTGTGGTGGTCTACTGTCTCGCGTCGTTTGAGGCGCGCGGAATGCTATGCGTCGTTCGCTCCGTGGCCGGAGATCGTCTCTCAGACCCCGACGCCCGGAGTGTCGCCTACTGCAGTGTCAGGGGCGTTATGAGGAGAATAGAATCTGAAGCATAAACCGATATTTTAAGACATGCATCTCCTCCTCCTCGCGTCGGTTTCCTCAGTGCTGAGGGTCGTGACCACCTCGTGGAAGCAGAGTACTGCGTATTACTCACCGCCATCTATTTCTATCTGCCGCCGAGTGGAGAGCATCGTGGACTGTAGTGTTGAGAGTGGTGCGAATCTGATCCGTCCAGCGTATCGGACTTCTGCCTCTAGGTCTCTTTCCTTCCACCTTACCAGTGATTAGTAACTTTTCCAAGTTATCATTACCCCTTCTGGCAGTGTGTCCTAAAAACTCCAGAATCCTGCGGAGGCATATGGAAGAGAGCCTTGTCTGGATCTTAAAAAGACATGCATACTTCAGCCCATTATCATCATTAATCCTATTCTAAAACTATTTGTTAAAATTTTCAGATATTCTCTAATAATAGTGGACAGTGCCACAGCTTTATACAGAACAGACTACTCAGGTCGTGGTGAGCTTAATTCAAGACAACTACATCTTGGACGATTTATGAGGATGCTGCTTAGACTGGCTGATGAGGTAAGACTTTTTGCTTTTGACCTGTTTTCGGATATGAAAAAGAATTATATCAAACTAATATCCGTTGAAATAAACTTTCATATATTTATATAATTGCAAATCAATGTATGAATGATCTTCATTTGTGGGCACTGAGGTCAATTCCCCCGGTTTTTTATTTAATATAGAAATTACGTATGTGTTAGTGCTAAAAATCAATGTGACATAATTTTTTGCTTAATTGTCTGTGGTGCTTATTGCTTCTTGTCTTGTACATGCATTCACAGCGTATAAACGGTACTACTTTTATCTCTTTCTTTTATTGAGTCAGTTGACTATCAGTATTGAAGTAACAAAAATCTTTACCGTCCTTGCAGTTCGGTGTAGCAGTAGTCATAACGAACCAAGTGGTGGCCCAAGTTGACTCAGTGGGCGTGTTCAACGCTGACACGAAGAAGCCTATTGGCGGACACATAATTGCGCACGCGTCGACAACTCGCCTCTATTTAAGAAAAGGGAGGGGCGACAATAGAGTTTGCAAGATCTATGATAGCCCTTGTTTGCCTGAAACTGAAGCTATGTTTGCTATAAGTACTGAAGGAATTACTGATGCTAAGGAATAATTACTATTATTTTAGTTAAAGGCATTTTTCTGTCTGGAGTATGTGTGTGAGATTATAGAGTATTTTCTTAGTTATACATGTAACTGGCTCAGTCCAATTATCTCTGTGACAATAAAAATGTATGCTAATAAAGGAAGATTTTAACTTTCTCTTAGATAACTTCTCAAAGTTGTCTCAAATAATATTAAAAGTACATTGTGCCTTAGTGTTGTAATTAATACATGCTTAAATTGAGAGTAAAAGACAATAATCTTTTTATATTTAAATGGTCTATGACTAATGTTTGTCAATAATTATTTTTGTACATTTTGCCACAGTCTAAATTCCCAAACAGTCAAAATAGTAATAATCTCATTGTAAATAAACAATCGCCAATACTGAACTATTGTATGAAGTAAATAAAACAATATATTTATAATAAATATTATGCGTTTATTTTCTCAAATATGGCTTACAACAGTTTATATAAATTGCAAGTACCAACATTAAAAATAAATTTCAAGTACATATTCGGTTAACAAACTTATGATTGCTCATAAATTCGTCCTTAATATCGAAAAATAAAAACAAAAATATGGTTGATTTATTTAATTTACAATTTATATAAAATTTGTATTCTGCTTTAACAATATTAAATGGTTTATTTTATTCAAAATAGATGATATTATAAGGCTGAATTATTGCTTGAGTATATAATAATATGCTTTGCGTCGATCCTTCATTTGACCGGTGACTCGGTTACATTATAAATATGCATTATGTGAATTTAGGGCCAATTTATACAAGAACAGAATCGCAGCTCTTCGAAGAAGAAATGCATCGTGCTTTTAAATCTCCAATGTAAGTAACAGCTACATTACACTGTTGAGATAATAGTTTATTTTTCCTTTGCCTAAAAACCACTTAACTCTTTCTCTTGCCGGTATCTTGAGATAAGTTTGAATTTATTTCGCATTTCCGCTTCGATGCGCTTCGATTTCCGTCCGTATAAATTGACCCTTACTAAGGCCTATAAGATTTCAATCCTAAATTTGGTTTAGCAGTCTATTTTTACTGGATTATAAATATTTTCTTTTTTTTTAAACAAGATACTGAACACTATGTATCAAGCAGATTTTTAATGCAGGTTATAATGAAGGCAATTATTTATTTGAGGGCATTGTTCAAAAATTGTGTAAGGAACTACATTTATCAACCAACCCTAAATTATCAGCGATTCTGCTAATTACACTGCAAAACTAATACTACACACCCCTTAGAAAAATAATAGTATATCGCTAAGAAAATTTCATATAGTATAAATATTTATGTACTGATTGTTTTAGCACGCTATTGTAACTACAATATCTGCATCATAAGACTTGTTTAAAACTATCGACTATAGGAATTTAAAAATGTCTACAATAATATGGAAATTTTCGAAGGCAGAATTAGAAATGCGAGTTTACTTTTTTATTTATAATAAACGAAACGAATACGACAAAATAAAACAAAGATCACATGAAATTATAAAAATAAAAAGGCTTATAAATATTTTATTATTATTAAAATTAAATAATATTGTTATTGGTCATGCAATTAAAACTACGAACATTTCGTGGATGTCTGTCGTTCCATTATGTAAGTCGCTAAGAAATCGCAATGTTGACTAGTCGACTACCACCTATTGACTGCTCTTTACATTAACACAACTCCTTACCGTACCTTGTGGGTAACCATTGCAATATTAAGTACTGATTTTTCAATGGTTAGATAAAAATAATCTGGGGAATAATTATAATGCTGTCGCGTCAGAATGTTTGTATAAGACAGTGACAGCAACAATTTTATTGCTCTCTTGGCTTTTCTTTGCTCCTATTGGTCGTAGCATAACTTTTGGCCAATAGCATTCCTCGATTGATTATCAATTCATAGCAAAAATGCTTCAATTCGAATCAATTATTTCAGAAATAGCGCCTTATAATCTGAATATAGATTATTATTGTTCATATACACTGGTAAACTCATGGTCACACAAGAAGGTCCCTTATGCTGTGTGCCAGATTTTTTTACTCAAGATTATTGATAATATCGCAATGGTCAACCAATTGGTGATATAGAACAACTTCGTGAAGGTGCTTCTAAATGGGCAATGGTTTTGCAATATATACCTAGTCGAGAAATATTGACCATACATGACCATAAAATACATGTTTGGATTTAACCATATTTTTGTCTGGTAATGTATATAAATTATAGAAAAATATTGCCCATTTCGAAGCAATACATGAAAAGGAAAAATCTAAGACCATAAATATTAAAGTTTACTAACTATTTTATGATACTAGATCCATCACCCTGATCTACAATATAAACACATAGATAAGGCAACACAATTAGTTTTTTTTAAATTGTGGTTATACCTGTACCATCTAAGCTAACCATTTTTTCTTTAAATATTGATTGCTATTTTTACAAGTATTGCTGACAAATATAGCTCTAGAATCAAAACACTCAATTAAATTTAGGAATTCTATAATTAAATTAGTAATGAGAAATCCATTATTTGAATGTTTAACACCCGGTTTCTGAAAGACTTGTCAATGCTAAAATTAACTAATATCCTGTTAAATCTCTTGTCAAGTCATCTGATTGGTTTTTGATAATTCAGTCAACCAATCAGATGACTTGATCGGCCTTTCGGAAACCGGGTGTAAGTCGGGAAGCCCATTTCTATTGGTAACTTATTTGTCGAAACTAGACAACATGCAGTTATTTTTAAACTGTATACATAATGAAGAAAGAATGTTAAAAACATAAATTAACCCAATATTACTGCAATAAATAAAAAAATAAATAACTAAAAGACCACAAATAAATTACTTTTTGAGGCACAAGTAACCGGTATACAGCCTCTTTATCTACTTTTCTAATTTGTATCATTATGGAATAATTATGATGAATAAAAATAAAAACAAATAAATTAAAAATGTCAATAATAAGTCCATTTCAGTTACATCACAACTATGGTAAGTACCAAGTTTTTATATGGATCCTTTTAAATTAATCCATAAGTATTATTTTTTGGATTTTTATGTCAATTTTACAATTTTTTCTCCTTCAATATTTTCTCTTTTTTTGTATTGTTTTATACTGAACTCATATTTGACTGAAAACATAAATTTACACTTTAAAATCCAGTTACCCATATTGGCCTACTTCACTGTACATTTTTTCACAAGATTGTGATAAAACCTTTTTCGGTTCATCCTCAATCTATGTTTCATGATAAAAAATATGTAATTTAATTAATGTATTATATTTATATACTTTTAATAGGCACAATCATTGAAACATTGCCTGCACATGATAAATTTCAATACATTTCAATTTTTTTTGTTGTATTTATTTTGTCACAGTCAAATTAAATTGTATTTGGGATTTACGATTTTTATTACTTTTATTCGCTCATACATAATTTTTGGGGCTCAAACTATAAACGGTTATTCTGAAGTGAAGCAGGCCGTTTAGCTAATAAATAGTAGGTTATATCTATGAAAATAGCACTTTTCTGACAATTTCATAGATAAAGACCAAAAATATATATAAATTTAAGTCTGTACTCATAGTTTTGGGTCTGCTGGCGGTGTGAGCAGTGTCGCCGGGGTGGGTGGCACACACGACGCGTGGGGCGTAGACAAAGCGTTGGCGAGATCCAATCGGGCGTGTTCACTCGCTACTAACGCGCGAAGCTCGTCCTGTGAGGAAAGTTTGACATGAATTTTCACACATATAAAAAATACAAGGAAATATAATTGACAATGTTTTGTCAAAGGAGGAGAGCTATGCTTCGGGACGAATGGGTCGATCCGACACGGCCTCTCAGAAAACTGACTTACGTTGTGTTTTACCGTGTGAGCGAGGTTACCAGAGGCCCAATCCTCCCCCTCCCCCCAATCCTCAAAACCCGAATACCAAAGTGTTACATATGGCCAGGGGCGGCACCGATTGCTTACCTTAATCCATCTAGCATATAACATGAAAAAAATATACATTGACAAGATGACTGTAATCAAAAACTTACCCCCCATCCAAGTCTATCAGCGAGATCCTGGCATCCATCATCACAGTCTCCAAGGCGGGCTACATCACGTATGGAATCCTCATCCAACTGCAGGCCTCCGCTCATCACTCCCCAGAGACGCAGCAATGGGGACCTCATGCCTGCCTTCTCGCGGTTGATCAGCAGTCTTGGACACCAGTCAGGAACCCTTTACAAATATATTTTGGCTTGTTAACGATAATACTTTAAAGACAAGAGGTTTTTCGGATAGAAACCTAATAAGGCAGCGCTCAGAAGACACGATTTTTTGGGACTTAGGGACTTAAAGAAGATACAGATCATTTCAAATTCTAAATTTTAAATTGCCAATTCATCTTAACAAAGCGTGGAGTATTTTTCACCATTTCCATTTGAGAAAAGGGCGGACGGACACTCGATCCCCCGTTTTAGGGACACTTACAGCTTACAGCGATCATACCATCCAATCCATCAGAATTTAGGGACTGAACTGAACTTCAATCATGATGATTCCGTCTGATCGCTGCTTTAGTAAGGATTTTTAAATTTTAGATTTCATACATAATTAATCTTTTTAGGTAATTAGAATACGGTAACTCTCTGATGTCAGAGCTTGATTTGTTTTTTGAAAACATTGCCCCACACTAGGATTTTCTCCTGTGTCGTGGGCACAAATATACAATTTTACATACACATGACACCCAGACCCGGAACAACAATTTATGGATCACACAAAGAGTTGCTGCGTGCGGGAATCGAACCCTTGACACGTTGCACGGCAGCCTGTTGCCCAGCCACCGCACCAACCGTGCAGTCAAAAGGCACGCTTGGATTTGTAGTGAATAATAAAAATGTAAGCACTCAAATACTCGCTTAGCTGTGGTTTCGATGCAAGCCCAATAATTTAGCGTGGCCTCGGCTTGAATGGTTTTTAGTCATTAAGGGTTTGAAACTCATTCTTATCTCACCCAGGCAGAGATGAGTATTAGCTAATAAAATTAGTATAGGATGATTTTCCCTTTTCTTAAAAATACAAGTGTAAGGGAACCAAGCTTCGGCACGAATGGTCGGCTCGACCAGAGTGATACCACGGCCGGCGTTGTGTTTCACCGTGTGAGTGAGGTTACCGGAGGCCCAATCCCGCCCCTTCCCCTATCCCTTCCCGATCCTTATATCCGCAACCCCTATCCCCAAAAGGTCGGCAACGCACTCGTTACTCCTTTGGTGTTGCGGGTGTCCATGGGCGGCGCCGATTGCTTACCATTAGGTAATTCGTCTGCTCGTTTGGCGACTTATAGCATAAAAAAACTTGCTAGAGAATACAAAAAATGTGTTAATTGTGACTTACATATCAATAAGTGAAGCAAAAGGCTGGACTTCAAGTGAGGATCCCATTATAATGAGCATGTCGCAGTGCTGGAAGTCCTCTTGCAAACATCTTTGGAAGCGGTCAGGCAGGCTCTCGCCAAAGAACACAATGTCTGGCTTCACGACGCCTGGGCAATCCGTGCAGATAGGAATTTGATCCGCGAATATACGTTCTGAAATCATAATTTTGTCAGGATGAGAAAATCGGACTTATAAATATGTTAACTAGCTTACGTCTAGGTCGTGGTGGCCCGGAGGTTAAGGAGCCCGCTTCTCATGCATGAGGTCGTAGGTTCGAAATCTGGCAAGTACCAATGTAACTTTTTCCGAGTTGTATGTACTTTCTAAGAATATTTAGACACCACTGACATACGGTGAAGAAAAACATCGTGAGGAAACCTGGACTTATAATTTCTAATTATAAGTTTCGCCATCGTTCGGTCGCGCCATCGCCGTCGTCGTTAAGAAATCGCCAACCCGCCTTGAGCAAGCGTGGTGATTAATGCTCAAACCTTCTCCTTGTGAGAAAAGGTCTTTGCTCAGCAGTGGGCACTTATAGGCTGATGATGTGTGATGTAAATTACCTAACGGGTCACATAATATTGTTAAGCTATCGGTAACACTAGAAGAGATATAGATATAAGTGTTGTTAGGAACTTGAGAAATGGAGGGGGGGGGGGGACCGAAAGACCAATCCCTTCCGGATTGGTTTTTCGGTTTTTTGAGTTGTTGCAAATCGTATCTCTCCCACATTTTTCTTCTTCTACCGTTGCCGTAAAACTTCGCCCACTACTAATATTACTTTTCTTGGTAGGACGGCAAACGAGCTACCTGATGGTAAGCAATCAGCGCTCCACCCATGGACACTCGCAACACCAAAGGAGTTACGATGTGTTGCTGGCCGTTTTGGGATAAGGGTTGAGGATATTTAAGGATTGGGAAGGTATAGTAGAGAAGAAAGGATTTTGCCTCCGGTAACCTCACTCATACGGCGAAACACAACGCTGTGGTTGTTTCACGCCGGTTTTCTGTGAGGCCGTGGTGTCTCAGGTCGAGCCGACCCATTCGTGACGAAGCAAGGCTCTCCCGCACGTGAAAATTATGCTTGTACCATATTCAGAGAATAGTAAGTTTTCGACTCTTTATATGTTCCACAAATGGTTTAACCGGGTCTGGGTGTGATTTTGAATGTGTGTAAAAATGCCCATAACACCGAACAAAATGCTATAGCGAAGCGACATTTCAAATAAAAAAATAATTATACCTTTGACATATTCAAGATTATATTCCTTGCGGCAGTCGAGACAATGTGAAGTGTAGAAGGTGCCGTGGGCCTCAACTAGTTTCTCTTCTGGAATGCCAGCACCTCGCTCTAGCGTGTCTATGTTCTGGGTATAGTGGCGAAGAAGTAGACCTGGGGAGAAGTCGCAGAATGACAAAATTTACACAAACACTTACAAAATTTATTTTGGCCATTAAATAATTGAGCGTGACTAAAGAATAGACTGATATACCTATCGAAAATAATTTTAAGTTAAGTTACAAGGGCTAATTTATTTAACACTTTGTTTGAAAGCACTATTGTCTGGAACCTCTGTCCCATTTCAATAAATTATTTTTGGCTATGATCAATGGGAACCTAGCAGCGTCTTGCATCTGAGAGGTTTCTTTTTTTGTAGAGACAAAATCAGCAAACTACTTCTTTAGCCCCAGGTGAGGTGAGACATTTGTGATTCACAAATTATTGTTTGTTAATAGAGTAAGCTTATAAAATTTAAATCTCAATATTACTTGAGTATTCACATCACGATCATTGCTTATATTAGCCACATAAAATATCCACTGCTAAACATAGGCCACCACCAGTGGCCGCCAGAACATCTGGCTGAATGTAACCTGCTTTCACCCTTCAGGTGGAAAATTAACCTTACGAAGGTTGCAGGAAGCCATTACATTGACATTTGTTTTTAAGCTGTTGACTGCTGACAGAAAACTATTGATAGCAAATCCTGCTCTACCATAGGTAACTGGTGACCAACATTGCGGTTAACATAATAAGTATTATAATTCCTTAGACAATTAAAGAAAAGCAAATTAATAACAATTAAAACTTACCTTTCTCATGTAAAAGCCGGATGAAATAATGTGAGATCGTGGGTTTGAAGCTTCCGGGATACAATTCCTTTGCTAGCATAAAGAATGGCTTGGGATTTTGTCTAAAGAAGTTTATCTCAAATATTGCCTGTGGTTCCGGAAGATCATATTTCTGTAAGTTGTGGTACAGTCCTGTTTCTGGGCTACGGAAGTCTGGGATGCCTGCCGCTGTAATTAAAATATTTTATAAATAAATTTAAAATAAAGTATTTCAAATATTGAACAGTGAATAGTAATGTTTTTTAAAAAGTTGGATTTTCAACAATGAAATGCCTAAGCCATTATTCAGATTAAACAGAATATAAGGCTTTATGTAAGTACCCTTTTGAGTATCACTACAACAATAACATAATCATATTAAAAGTATTATATTAGTTTAAGCATCATAAATATAAACGTAAACAAAACAATCCAACAAAATAAAATTGACAAATTTAGGTAAAAGAAACTGTCAGAAGTACATCCAAAGTAGAAATTAAGTTAATAAATTAATTCAAACATTAACACAGGAGGATATAATATATTATATGTTATCTTCCTCATGTAGCTATGAGACAACTAAATCATAAAGTTTCCATCAAAACATGTCTGACCTTGATGTAGCAAACAATGATATATTAATTTTCCACTACCATTTTTTACTTGTCTGTGGTATTAATTTGTTGATTATTATTTTAACAATCACAGACAACACAGATTGTTTGAATATATATTCTGCTCAAATTTTTGTTTTTTTTTTTCGTTTCTCATATTATTATGCTTTTTCCAATTGGAAAATAATCACATAATTATGATTTCTGTAAACTTTCTAAAATTGATTTCGGTAACACTGGTATCAACATCATGTCATGTCTAAAAAGTGAAACTTTGGCTGCACTTAGTCACATAACATTGTTATTAAGATTATTAATAACATACACAAAAAATAACTAACAAATAGTGATAATCAAACAATCGATTTGATGGGATTTACATTGAAAATGTAACTTAATTAAATTAATGTTTTGACACTCACAAGTTGAAATACCCGCCCCGGCCAGAGTGATAATATTTTTACAGCGTTCAGATTTTATCCATTTCACAATGCCGTCCAAATTAACTTCATCCAAGACCTGATCAACTGGCGCGCTTGTTTCTGGCGGTTCGTAAAATCCGAGTTTTTGGGCCAAATATCGACGAATAGAATCCACATCCAAGTCTCTTATACGAGCTCCTAAGCTATCCACAGGATTTGGCGGGACGCTCGGCACAGACCTATCCACAGGATCATCCCCTACAATCAAACGAAAATATTCCAATAATACTGCAATATTATTATCCAGAAACGTTCCACATGCAACAATATCTCACCATCACTCTTTCCAGGAGGAGAATTTGCAGACATTTTGCGTAAATAAATGAAATTGCGACTCGAAACCTTTGTCCACTTTTGCCACGGTTTATTTGACAGATAATGAAGGCGCATTCTCGAATACAGTTTGTGTTGCACTGATGTTGTGTACAAATGTTTTTGCCTTCAAGTTATTTTTATCTTGTACTTTGTTCGATGATTATTCTCAATATATTTACTACCTATACATAATATTTGATTGCTGACCATTTTCTCAAAGAGTGGATTTTATTGATATTGATACCCGTTAAGCCTAGTGTTCTTTTATTATATAAATTTATAATGAATTAATTAATTTTAATAAACTGTGTAAAATATATAAATCTTTTCATTGGTAATAAATGCTAAACGTGTGTACATAAAATTAGTGCAGATATTTATTTCTTATTAACAAGCACTTACTGATTTTTGTGTAGCCATCTTTGTAAACGCTACGCTAGTGATGGGAAATACATTGATTAAAACCCGGGTCTATCGACATAATCATAATTTATTTATTGTATTTAACATAATTGTAGTACATTATTTGAAAAATTCTAATAAGGATAAAATAAATAATTTCAACGAACGTAAAAATGCCCATGCCCATCATCACACCTGCAAAACTGCCAATATTACCTGAAACAAGTTTCGTAATTATGTGTTATAACGATACTAACGAAATATAAGTATCAGCCTTAGACAGTAGGGTACTTGTTTAATATATTTTATTATACATTTAGTGATTATTTGTCGACCCAATAAGAAACCAAATAATGCCTAATAAAGTTTGTTGAAATATGTTCTAATTTTTTAAAGTATGAATTTTACGTAAGGGTAATTTGACTAATTTCTGTTTTTCTTACTTAGTATTTCGTACCAGTAGGAGACCACATCAAGACGATGCAATATGCCTTCTCCTGTTGGCTGGAATATGTTTATTATGCTTTTATTCGTGAGATCCACACCAGACCTATTAAACAAACAAAAAAGTTTTGGATGCAGATATATGTCCTATGCAAGATAATATATACTATTACTAATAATATACTATTACTTTGCATGTAGGTATATATCCAAGTTTAAGACAATATCACAATATTTTTTTAATTATAAGAAAAATGAAGTATACTTACAAGAAACTGTTACTGAATCCCGACGCTCCTGTTCTAAGAAAATTAATCTTGTAAGATTTGATCGAATGATCGGTTAATTCACAGTCTGGCCAGCAATTGGGACAGTACATTGATACTGTTAGTTCTTCTTTTAGCGCTTCATTGCCTTCAGAATCTCTGGGATACAGATATAGCAGTTTTTCTAAAGAATAAAAAAATAAAAATTGTATCATATAGTGGCTGTAGTGTATTGCGTCGAAGAGGTAAAATTTGATATATTTACTTATTTTACCCTCCTTATAAAATACCAACTTTAATGTGGGAGTAAAGTGCTATGCTTCTACTCAAATGACACATCGGCCTCACAACTATCAGCGTAAAACAACTACGTTGCTACAGCGTGTGTCGCCGTGTGAGTGAGGTTACCGGAAGCCGGAAGCCTTACCCTATCCCATTACTCCCAAATTCCTGGATCTCCAAAACCCCTTAACCCCATAATGTCGGAATGCACTTGAATTCCTCTGGTATCCATGGGCGGCGCCGATTGCTTACCATCAAGTACCTATGCACGTCATTGCCAGCGTATTACATAAAAAAAACTTTGACTGCACGGTTGGTTCGGTGGCTGGGCAACTGACTGCCGTGCAAAGTGTCGCGGGTTGTATTCCCGCACGAAACAACACTGTGAGATCCACAAGTTGTTGTTTCGGGTCTGGGTGGCATGTGTAATTGACATTGTATGTTTGTCAACGCACCTACAGCACAGGAGAAAATCCTAGTGGGGCAACGTTTATTTAAAAAAAGAACTTTGTAACATTATTTAATTACCTATCAGTAAATTACCTATAATAAGATTTTATAAGATACTATATTTAAATGAAATTGTATGATAATAATACCTACCTGTGTATTTATGTAAACAATTTAAATGCTTAAGCGTGCATGTTGGTAGTCGAGATGTACTTGGCAGAAAGTATGGGGTACATTTGCATAGAGTCTGAACAGTTTCTATCCGACACCGGGTTATGCAGGTACTGTACGAATAAATGTTATTGAACGTTTGTGATAGTTCAGTGTGGAATAGGCACTGTCTCTGCAAAAATGAATGCATCATTTTTAAAGAAAGTCATCGATTCTAAATGGATAGCTAGGCATCTGAGTTTCAAGTATGAATTAAGCGCTTAACTAAATGTTCCACTTTTTTGTTATTTCTAGGACCTTAAGCGCCCCATCTAGTAAAGCGAACAAACCACTCTCATTTGTACAAAAAAATGTAATAATGTTATTTTTATTATTGTCAATTTCATGATGGTACGGCTAGCACCATTGTTAATTTTTACAAAGTATCCAAGTTATTTAAACATTACCATCTTATGATTAAGGAAGTCATCGCGAAACTTGAAATGACCCCAATTCATGTTGAGCAACCGTGGTGATTAATGCTCAAACCTTATTTGTCTGAGAAGAGGTCTTTGCTTAGTAGTGGGCAGTCATAGGCTCACTGCTCAGAAATTGATGATGTCACAAATTCACATTGTCTAATTGTGGTGACGATTGTTTGCTTAAATAAACTTTATTGATTTTTATTACCGTTTTCACTGGATATTTGTGGACTTCCGACGAAGCTTCTTGTTTAATTGACGATAAAAGAAAGTATTCCGCTTGACTAGGTTGAACAGTGCGCTGTAGTACTCTTCCACCGGTCATATCAGCGAAATGGTATGAATTAAATATGAGAACCTGCGACGATGAAAATAAGTGTGGGAGAGTCAAGCACGAATAGATCAGTTCTACTAGAATGGTACACAGAGGCCCAATACTATATACTCCCATCCCTCCTTAACCCCTAAATCTCCAAAACCCTACTACCCAATAGGCTGGCACCCCGTTCATAACTCTCTGTTGTTACAGGTGTCTATGCGAAGCCGATTGCGTATCATCAGGAAATCTGTACGCTCGTTTGCCAACCAACTACAAAAAAAATCCTACATTATCGACATGCGAAAAATGTTGATGTCCCAACACTTAGGACAGTGCGCCCACTATATTTTATCGTAACTACAACGCCAGTATCTTAGCCTCATGACAAAGCACGATTTCCACAATATGTATCATCAAAATTAAGAGCACATAATAATTAAAGAAAAAATTAATATCTCGCATGGTTTATCTAAAAGGCAGGTTTAGATCTCTTGCGTAGACAGAGCATTAGAAATGCTCTGTCTACGATCTCTTGAATTGTCTTTTGACGAACGAAATCCAATGTTTCTCTTGGTTTCCATAGATGGCGTTGCTACCGAGATTTCCTGTTCTTTAATATGACTTCTATTTTCATATTTGAAGAGTTTCGAAATCACAATATATTCCCTTTAGGGCTGATTTTTCAAAGGTTAGATAAAAGTTTACTGGGGAAAAATGATGATGCTGTCGCGTCAGAATATATAATATTAATTATTATTGACTATAGATACCTTTTAATACTATTGTTCCTGCTAATACTTGTACCTATAATATCTATTGTTTCGCTCTGTGTGTGAGGAGGCCCAATCCTTTCCCTTCCTCCAAAACCTTGCAACTCCTCTGGTGTCGCGACTGTCCATGGGCGGCCACAATTGCTTACCATCAGGTAATTCGTCTATTCTTTACCCGGTGTACCTATTTTATTTAAAAAAAGTCATTTAAGTTTAAATTAAGATATTTTAAGTGGAAAAAAATTCTAGAGATAGGTAACTTACTTCGAATCCTTGCCTAAATCTATGTAGTGGGTATGCATAGTCATCGATCATAGTGTCAATGATCACTCTCAGGCCGTTCATCAAACCCGGTACTATTTGTCGCTTTACTCTGCTTAAAGTTCCATTAAGCCTGAAAGGAGTAATTGTACAAAAAAATTTAATCTTATAACCAGTGTATTGTGGTCTCGCTGTGAATGATCTTTCCTCACATTTAACGGTCAGTTTATACTGGTTGTCACGTGTATCGATCACGAATAAAGTTCTTTATTAGTGATCGATGATACAATACAAATAACTTGGAGTAAGTAGTGGCTGGGCAATTGGCTGCTGTGCAATGTGTCGCGGGATCGTTTTCCGCACGGAACAACATTGTGTGATCCATAAATTGTTGTTTCGTACCTATGTAAGTGGTTTGTATTATGTGGTTTTTTATGTTTTTCAACGCACCCATGACACTAGAGAAAATGACTTCTGGGTGAAGCAACACATTACTCACATATCAGTAGCTCCATATTCTAGTACGTAGTTGAATGCACAGCAATGGCCAAGGACGGTTCGCCGGATTGAGAAGATAGAACTGCAGTTCACTGGCTTGCCTCCCCATAAACATCTGAGCAGCATCTCCTCACAGCTTGGCGCCATCTACGAGTATGTTGGAACAAAAACAAATAACTGGAAAAGGGTACGACGCGATGAGTAAAAAAAAAACGTCTAAAATCAAATTAGACCCTTACAGGCACTTTTGAACGTCAAATAAAATTTTGAAGATATTGTGTCAGTCTGTCGGTCAGTCCTCTTAGTGAAGCTATTTGCTCGTTCCAAAATGTAGATTCCGATGGAGATGAACGAGCAAGAAACTCCATGGTTATGGAGAAGAACTAGCAAGAAAGTCCATGGTTAATCGATGCTTTCTTGCCAAAAGACCGCCACGGACGGGTGGGGCAAGCGCAATAAGGACTGCGGCCTCAGCCTAGAGCAGGAGAAGGAACGGGGGTTTTTAGTCAGTAAGAGTTTGAAATTCCCTCTCGCCTTACCGTGGGCGAGAGAGGACATATGATGATTTTCCTCTATCAAAAGAAACTATGCCATGACATGCCTTGTCGCTCCAGAAGCCAAAAAGAAGTTCTTTTTTGAGGGTATATGTTTTTCAAGTTACTTCTCCCACCCTAAGCGGAGCGAGGTTTCCCGAACTGGGTTATTCTTTCTTTATCATCATTAACGTTAGGTCATGTGCATTCATCTCTGCAGTTAGGAAAAGATACACGAAATCTTTAGTTTTTGGGGAGAAAATCATCAAATGGCCTTGCTGGACGGGTTCTTCTTTGAGTGGAGCGAGAAGGAGTTATAGCGGCTAAATGTTTGCCCATTACGTAACAAAATATATTAAAATACCTTACTTATATTTGTAGGTATACATAATACAAGAGAACTCACAGCCTTCATAATATTCACTGTTTCAGAACCGAATAACTTATCGTAATCGTCAATTAATTTGTTGTCAGCAAAATTTGACGGTTTCTTTTCAAAATTGATCAACTGTCCCATATGTTGCAGGATCTCCTCCATTTTACGAAGGGTTATGTTCTTCAGTTTATTCATTTTCGGGTACCTGAAAGAGAAAATGTCACTTAACACAACTAGGTATACCTTTTTAGGCAGAGAAGACAGACCTTGTTGAATTACATACAAAAATGGGCCACATCTCTAACATGCGAAACACCTCTAAGATTTGGCCCATTTTGCAAAATTTGTAAGTTTGTAGGTATGTTTGTAAGTTTGTATGTAGGGGGTAATGTTTGGAACCGCTGGTCGGATTTTTAAAAATTCTTTCACTGATAGATAGCTACAATATTCCTGAGCGCTATAGGCTATAAAACAACACGTTACGATTAAATTTTTCACAGCAGCGGGTGAAACCACGCGAGAGTAGCTGGTTTTAAATAATTTAGTATGTATCACAACAGTTGAAAAATTTGAATAAGAATTCACCTATTTCTGAAAGCCAATAACCCAGACGTATGTACCTGCCTCAAAGAGGCAATAGACCACCACAGCTGGTTCTCTACAGGACCGATATTCAACCGTGGTTGCAGGGTAAGCCCAATGAGGCCTTGGCCTCAAGCAGGAGAAGGAACGGGGATTTGTTGTCAGTAAGATTCTGATATTCTCTCTCGCCTTACCCTGGGCGGGATAAGTCATTTGACGATTGTCCCCTGACAAAATTAAAGACCTGTGAAACTACCTATATTTCAGAATAACCTAGTTTACTACGGAGCCCTCTAAAAAGACTATAAACCTTCATTTGCACAGTATTAAATATAAAATAACTACCTACATATACATACAAGTGACCGTGGCCCCAAACTCTTTTACGAAAATATTTATTTAATTTTGTTCTTAGATATCTACGTACACAATATCGAAAAACGTTTGTATTAAAGGCTAGGAACTAATACTTAATCCAAACTAATATTATAAATGTGAAAGTAACTCTGTCTATCTGTCTGTCTGTCTTTTATTGACGCCTAAACTACTGAACCGATTTCTGATTTTCCGTTTTGAACTCGAGAAAGGACATAGGATAGTTTTTAATCCAAAAATCTACAGGAATTCATTATTCCATGTGAGCGGGCAAAAGCTAGTACCTACTTAATAATTTAATGGCATTCTAAACCAACCATTATAATATCAGTAGCGTATCACATAGAAAGTACATTACTTATAAGTGTTTAAAGAGGTTGTAAGCTGTCTAAGTGAGAAACATAGTATCACAAAGCATGCGAATGAAGATTAATGCCTTTATTATGTATATTCGGAGTTTTTTCCTAACTTCTAGCGAATAAACCGCTATAATGATAATAGTTCAGAAAGTGAATGTATGGAGAACCTGTATTAGCTAGTTGGTTTAGAAAATATAAGTGTGATCTACGTGTTGGTAATACGGTATTGTTTACTTCATTAATGTAGTCATTAAGTCATTGGTACCTAATTGAATAGTTTTTCAAACTAGTCTGTTTCTTATGATTTTCAATTTTTATATGACATGAAACGTTGTTAATTTTTTTTATTATGTAATTACCATTTAAAAATCAAAAACATTAATAAGTATAGATAGCATTCATAAACTACCTACTGAAGTTTGTAATTAATGCTACTAAAATTCCTTGATTGAGTAAGTAGATTTGGATAATGAGTAAAACTTTTTCTATTCTATCTAACTCTCGTGAGACACACTAAATACGTATATTATTATGTTTTATAGCTTAGTTGAATGATTATAAGTCCCAGCGAGGTTTGAAACTTGTCGTAAGTTCCTCGTATTAAGGAAATAAAATTAACACTCTCTTTTTGTTAAAAGGTGCCACATTTCCAGGCTAGGTTTACCACGAATATTTTCCAAAAATCCCAGTCACATTTCTTTTCGCCCAATCTACCGAATAGAATGAATACAGCCACAACACAACCACTGCTGAACATACGCCTCCCACAGCCCAAGCTGTTGTCTTCCAAATAGGCCAGAACAAACGACCTGCATTCAGTGGCGCCCAGCGACCATAATTAATGGCTGACCACCTGGTTTTTTGAGGAAGTTAATCATCATATTATTATGATCTGGTCTTGTCTGAGTTCCAGATTCTTACTGACTAAAAACCACCCCGTTCTTTCTCCTGCTCCAGGCCAAGGATGCGGTACCTTATTGCGCTTGCCCCATAACCGCAGCTGAACATCGCTCCTTTTTGGTCCCATCTGTAATGGTCTAGCGGCTCTTTGTTGCGGCGCGTTGGTTACCGACCAGACTATAGTCTCTATCCTAGAAATTATAAAAGACTAGCGATTCTCAACCGGTTTCTCCCGCTGCTCGGCTCCATTTTATCGTATAGCCTATAACACTTAGGAACATTGTAGCTATCTATCAGTGAAAGAATTTTGGCAATCCGACCAGCGGTTCCAAAGATTATCCCCTACATACAAACTTACAAATGTTACCTCTTTATAATATTAGTATAGAAGTAATGATATAGATAATTATACTGACATTTCCAAAGCCTTCTTCTTTAATGCTTTTCTGCTGATCCGATTGATATTACACAGAGCTACAGCTGGGAAGTCAATATCCTTGATGGGGTAGGTAAAGGATTCTCCAGACACCACCAGGGGATTCGCTAAGGTCAACACCCAGGTGTGGTACAAATAGTACAGCACGGTGGAGAAGAAGGCGCATAGAAGAAGAAACATGAATATTCTGGAATGAAAGAAAGAAGAATTTAGTTTAAAAGGGGAATAGGGTGGGGCGGTAGGGAGAGTCAGACTCTTACTCGCTAAAAACCTTTCCGTTCTTTCTCCTGCTACAGGCCAGGGTCGCGGTACCATTATTGCTTGGACTTCTGGCTGATTATGTTGAGAGGCTGAAGTGTGATTGATGGACGAAAGAACAGAATAGATCAAGGTATGCCCCGTAAAAAACTTTGAGGCAGATATGTTGGTCAAACAGCAAATATAATGTATGCTATGGTGTATTCATGTCTGAAAATAATACTTTGTTTTGTATTCAGATTAAATTCGTTCGTAACATATCACGAATTTTATCGATCGAACTACAACTGCCTCCAGCCTTTAGTGTGTTGGCGTGATTTCAGACTATAACTCTTTAGCTATATATAGACACTAGTGGCCCGCCCTTGCTTCGCACGGGTGTGGAACCACCTTGGTGTCAGTCATTCGTTTTGTTAGCGAACCGCCATCGCATCGGATTATTTATAAATTCGAAAGGGTTACTTTAATCCGACTTTTCCCTCTGCTTGTATTAAATATTCTTTTATCAGAACTTTCTACTAACACCTAACAATACAAAAAAAAAATGGAATTTAATTGGTCTAGGCGTTGTTGTCATCAATACATTTTGCGGTTCGTGCCTCTTATACTCGAGAAGTTAATGAAATCAATACAAGTTCAAATGTAACTGCCATTTCTAGATAATTCTAAATATTACTTAATATGAAACATAGGCTTTGATGTTGATTAATTTTTATTTTTAACCGCTTTCTCACGGGACTATTTAAAGAGGATTAGTTTGTTGCGCAACGTCCGCTCGCCCCGTCGTGTAGCGCTCGTGCAATTCCGCTTATAAACATGAACCTTAACTTTTCTTGAAATTAGTCCAGTGTCGTGGGTGCGTTTACAAACATACAATTTCACATACACACCACATCCAGACCCAGAACAACGAGTTTTTCTTACTCGCCGACCGCAGGCCCGTGCTTACGGTGGCCGGAGATCGTCCCTTGATCTCCGACGCCCGTAGTGTCGCCAGTTGCGGCGGCTGGGGCGTGAGGAGGAGGATTGCTCCCTCACGCGGGCCGCCTCTCTCTTTGTGAGCATGACTGCTTCACAAAAGGAGGAAACGGCGTCCCAGTTCCTCTCACTCCGCACCATGGCCTCGACTAAGGCCGGGCGCGAGAGGTCCCCGCCACCGATCACTTCCCTGAGGACACGGCGGTGCTCAGCCCAGGCAGGGCATACCGCTACCGTATGCTCCACCGTATCCTCTAGGTGGTCCTCACAATGACGACACTCGGGCGTTTCCTCCCGCTGGATCCGAAACAGGAACCTACCGAAGCTGCCGTGCCCGGTAAGCACCTGCGTCAGGCGGAAGGTGAGGACGCCGTGGCGTCTCTCAAGCCACTCCTCAAAGAGACCACGCCAACCGTACACTCATTAAGCGGTTCAATATAATACTTAGGTAATTAATTAATTTCATTACTTAATAAGGCTTTTTATCAATGTTTAAGTTAGCAAACAAGTAATTGTATAAGGAAAATGTTTATTTTTATACAATTTTAATTTAACTTTCAGTGTTAAACTATTAAAGCTGAAAATTAAGTTCGCGTGACTATTTTGCCCACGGTTTTGTACACGTGGAATCTTTGCGTGGCGTACGTACGTAGTGGGAAACAATGTTAGGTATAATTACTTACAACTGATTCGTCCTTCGGAATTTTTCAAGGTCTTAGTCTATATTGCTCTCTCTCACACAACACATCATCGAGCCTATAAGTGCCCACTGCTAATTAAAGCCCTCTCTTCACAAAAAAAAAGGTTTGAGCATTAATCACCACGCTTACTCAAAGCGAATTGGCGATTTCAAACTTATAATTCGTAATTATAAGTTCAGGTTTCCTCACGTTTTTTTTCCTTCACCGTATGTCAGTGGTGTCTAAATAATCGTAGAAAGTACCTACTCGGAAAAATCATATTGGTGCTTGCCAGGTGTCGAACCCCCATGCATGAGAAGAGGGTGCCATAACCTCCAGGGCACCACGACTCATCGCTATATCGCCCTAGGCACCGGGAACCGAGCGACGATGTTCGATATCATAATAAGGTAGCAAGGATAGCGTAAAGCATGTCGTGTTCTGCGCTCAAAGAACTATCATACCACCAAAAATGGGGTCCGTTAGGTTTGATAGCCAATTCTCGGCCAATCGTTGGGTTTACCCTGCAACCTCAGTACATAGGTCCGCGGTAAACCAGGGTAGGAGCAGCCAGTAGGAAAAGGAACCGGGTGGTTTTGATAAGTCAGAGTCTGACACTCCTTCTCGAACCAACCAGAGTGGAGAAGCAATTGAATGAAATATTAAGAACATGTTAGATGTATTTTTTTTTTAATATTGCACGATAACACCAGCATTTAACAATTTGCTTCTCACGGATGAGGGTATCTATGTGAGGGTAACCACTGATGTGATATTTTCTGTTTTCATATGTATTTTTTATGTTCGTTCGACTTCGTCCGCGTGGTACGATAAAAGGTTGCCTTTCTATGTATTAATCCAGGATATTTTATCACCTATTTACACACCAAAATCAACCAAATCAATCCAGCTTGCGTGAAAGAACAACAAACATACATCCGTAAATTCTCATATACTTAAGTAGTAGGATAATATTAGTTTGAAATCGCCAATCGGTTTTCAGAAATCATGGTGATTAATGGCTCATTGTCGTTCTCTATGTGAGCAGAGGCCTCTTGTTCAGCAGTGGGCACTTATAGACTGGTGATGATGATGACGAGCCATTTAATAATAACTTACCTTGCCATAATTGGTTCTTCATGAGAAATAACATGCCTCACCCCAGCTATAGAAGAACTATTTAGATATTCTTTTAGCGTTTCCCTAAGACTTTTTCTGATCAACATTTCAATGCTAAGACGGTATCGAGGTTTCAATTTTTTCTTCCTATATTTAAGCCACCATGGTTCCGAATCCATTTTCCCCTGGCCGAAGCTGAAGTGTTACAGCAGATCTAAAATAAGAACCAAAGAGGTCAAGCAATGTTCTGCGACCTTCACTGCCTGAATAATTGAAAAGGTTAATTTAATGTAAGTATTGAGATTATTTGAAGATTGAGTCTTATTTTTCGAAGAGCCCTCCACAACCTTTAAAAACTTCTGAAAGCCTGGTTCTACGGTAGATACAACCACTGAAGACCCTGGGACATGAATTACTGTCTTGGATCCCGAAACTAAATAAATCATAAGATATAATTTGAGGAGCAGGAAGAAAAAACCAAATAGTTTTCACATCCCTAAGAGAATTCATTCGATTATATTGAAAATCTGTGGGCCTTATAAAGAAGCTCAAGGTCGCTCAGCGCGCTATGGAAAAGGCTATGCTCGGAGTTTCTTTGCGAGAGCGAATAAAAAACGAGGATATCCGCAAACGAACAAATATATATTATATATATATTAAGGTTGCCGACATAGCCCAGCGGATTAGTAAGTTGAAGTGGCAATGGGAAGGGCACATAGCGCGTAGAACCAACGCCCGCTGGGCAGAAAGGTTCTCGAGTGGAGGCCGCGTACCGGCAAGCGCAGCGTAGGACGTCCACCCGCAAGGTACAGACGACCTAATTAAGGTCACAGGAAGCCACTGGATGCAGGTCACTTCCAACCGGCCTATGTGGAAGTCAATGAGGGAGGCCTATGTTCAACAGTAGACGTCCTATGGCTGATATTAAGAAGCGAATTCATTGCAGGAGACAAAATTACTTAAGCATTAAGAAAAAAGACTGTGCACCTGGGAGAAGCCTAGTTAGAGAACATCTCGAACGATTTTCTATAAATAAGGTTGCAAGTCTATTACAATACAATTTGTTAAATTTGGAGTAAGTCAGTGACTCCTAGTTGCAACAGCAGATGAGTTACGAGTGCGTTGCCGGCCTTCTGGGGATTCGGGTTTCGGAGATTTGGTGAGGGATGGGAGGTTAGGAAGGGTTGGGCATCCGGTCACCTCACTCAGATAGTGAAATACAACGCTGTCATTGTTTCACGCCGATTTTTCATGAGGCTGTGGAGTGACTTCAGTGGAGCCGACACATTCGTGACGAAGCTTGGTGGTCCCACATTATAGATTAATATAATGGGTTTTATGCGTTAAAGTAAAAGATATGATAAATTAATCTAAAAGCGCTTACCAACCTGCGTATATGACCAGATGGCAAAAGTACAATGTAAAACTGGCATTCAGTCAAATCCTAATAAATTATCAGTTTCGTTATCATAAGCTTATTACTTATTGGGAAAATAAAATTATAGAGTTTATCAAGTGGTAGTGTGAAATTATAATTGTAAATTAATTATAAAGTAAATACATTTTACGTGAGTTTATTGAGTAGTGATATGGTTTGTGCTAGTGCTGCAAAAGATGGCGCGCATTTCAAACGATTTTATTTTTTTTATTTTATGTTACTTAATTGGTGGATGTCATGTTAACTTTCAATATGGATGTCGTGTACCTATCGGAGAGTTAAAATAGAGCTGGTATAATGGTTGTGAGACTAATTTAAATAGGAGTCTATACGGTTAACTAAACATAAGACTAAGTACACAGTTGATGCGTTCAATGGACATCCCATAACGTGGCGCCACAGCTGGCGCGATATCGTCCACGGAATAACAATTTGTGTGATCCACAAATGCGTCATCGTAACGTAATCTCCAAAACATTTATATCTAAAAGGTCGGCAATGCACTCGTAACTCCTCCACTGTTATCTACGTGCCATATGTGACTCTGAACGCTAACCATCAGGTGATCGATCCACTTGCTCGTTTGCCGACCTATTACATCATAACAAAAGACAACCGACTTTCCTGTGAATGGAACCAGCAACTTGACATTGACATATCCAAGCAAACACTTTACCTAACTTTTATTAAGTCTGACTTTGTGCTCAACCGATGTAGATAATTATAACTAACGAAAAGTGGTTGTTACTTTGAATATTTTGTTATTTTGTGGCTTTAACTAATCGACAGTCGATACACTGGGTTAAGAACAACACTATTTTAAAATTGCATGTCACAAAGTTTTCAATAATGAACTAAAATTAGTACATTGTTAATGTTTAAAACGAACTAATCGCCATGCGAGATCTGTGATTAAAATATTACTAATTAATTATTAAATGGTTGGATATCGATTTTCCTTTTTTATTCTGTGGTCCTGTGGATTATGGTGCGGCTGTTGAAGACGGGGTCTAGACTCTGATCAAACGAAGAGAAGATCTATACAATATGAAGACGTCGACAGAACGACGTCACCTCGCGCCGCGTCCTCATTAATAAGAGTCCCCTTATGACTAGTAACTAATACAGTTTATCCCAGTTGTCTAAGTAGCTAAGTCACGTAAGTTAGTTATTAGTTATCTATACTCAGATTGTAAAGAGGTAATTTATGTAAGTTTGTATCATCATCATCAACCTATAAGTGCCCACTGCTGAGCAAAGCTCTTCTCTCATACGGAGAAGTTAGAGCATTAATAACCACGCTTGCTCAATGCGGGTTGGCGATTTCAAACTTATCATTATAGAAATTATAAGTCCAGGTTTCCTCACGATGTTTACCTTCACCGTATGTCAGTGGTGTCTAAATAGTCATAGAAAGTACATGTAACTTGAAAAAAGTCACATTGGTACTTAAAAGGTTTCGAACCCATATCTTCCTGCATGAAAAGCGGGCTCCTTAGCCTCCGGGCCACCACGACCTTAGTTTACCACGATCTAAGTTTGTATGTAGAGGGTAAACTTTGGAACCGCTGGTCGGATTTCCAAAATTCTTTCTCTGATATGTAGATACCTTTTTTTTGTGAGGGGAAAATCATCAAATGACTTCTCCCGCCTAGGGTAGGGCGGGACGGAGTGTTAGACTCTTACTGACTAAAAACCCCCTGTTACTTCTCCTGCTTTAGGCCGAGGCCGCGGTAAATTATTGCTCTTGCCCCGCAACAACGTCTGAACATCTCAGACCCGGACTTAAGGTGGCCGGAGATCATCTCTCGAGTGGTCGGAGATCGTCTCTCGAACATCTCTCACTGATAGATAGCTACAATGTTCCTGACTGCTAAGTCTATAAAACATCACCCTAAGACCAAAAGGAGCCGAGCAAACTACACGATAGTAGTTATTAATAACTAGCTTTTGCCCACGACTCCGTTCGCGTGGAATAGTGACTTCCTGCAGTATTTGGTATAAAAACTGTCCTATGTCCTTTCTCGAGTTCCAACCTATGTCTCTACCAAATTCTACAAAAATCGGTTCAGGAGTTTAGGCGTGAAAAAAACAAATAAAGTATAAAAACGTATGTAGCACGTAATTGACACAAATTACGTTCTAAATTCAATTTTATCTTGTACCTACATAGTGGCTATAGGGACATTGTGATACATGCTCTTGATCTGCTTATACTTTATTACCTATTGGATACAGAATGAACAAATTAATGCATGAATGATCTACTGATCTATGAAGGTACTACGTTCAAGCCTTTTTTCCCCTCAAATAATATTTACGATTTTTTTTATAGCGGGCTGGAAGACAGTCATTCGTGTCCCTGGGACGCGCCTTTATCTACTGTAGATCCTGGCTTAGTTGTAATAATAATACTAGTAGTAATAGATACATATTATGCCATTATTTTGAATACACTACACGAAGTAAGTTTAAAATATTATTTTACCGGTAGTTAATTTGTCAAGATAAGGGTATATGTATATATTTTTATCCGTTTTTTTGTCGGATGAATCAGGAATAAAATGATGTAGGTACAGAATAGCGGTGACCATAATTTTGTGTAAAAAATTTCAATTAAGTTTACTAAAAAGTTTCACTTTAGATTTTTTTTAGCCAAAGAGAGTTTTATTATTGGAGGCAGGTAATGAGTCATGAAATAACTTCTCCCGCCTTCGGTAGGGCGAGTGAAAGTGTCAGACTCTTACTAACTAAAAACTATCGCGTTCTTATTCCTACTCCTCCGGGCCGGGTCTCTGGTACCACCACACATACATAATTAGAAATCCAGGTTTCCTCACGATAGCCGGGGTTGCGGGTTAAGCGCAATGAGTCACCGCGGCCTCGGCCCAGAGCAGGAGAAGAAACGGGGAGGTTTTTAATCAGTAAGTCTGACACTCTCTCTCTCGCCTAACCCTGGGCGGGAGAAGTCATTTGATGATTTTCCCCTGACAAAAAAAGGTTTCCTCACGATGTTTTCGTACACGAAAGTCAGTGGTGTCCAAATCATAGTAGACAATACATATAGGTAACTTGGAAAAAGTCACATTAGTTTCGAACCCGCACCGTCATACATGAGATGCCACTCCTGAATATTTTAATTAGGACCTCCTTTCCAGGCAAGGTGACCAACAAAGCCTCTATTAATAACAATCACTCTACCTGTATATATCTCTAACTAAATCCAGCTGACCCCTAAAATAACATGAACTTATAGCCCAGGAGAAAACTCTATCACCTTTTTTTACCCCACCTGATGGTAAGCAGTGATGCAATCGTTGATGGTAAGGCGCACTAGTTTATTAAGAGCCTATTCACTCTAGCCTTGAAGACACCTAACTGGTATTCGCTCGGTTCTTACATCTCTATACTATTCCAAACCATTTACTTAGGTACTTTTTATCAAGAATAATCGCGATATTTGTCCGCCATTTTGTATAATCATAGTGAACCTACAAATCGAATAACGTTTACAAAATTTTTTTGTCACAGGGGAATCTTTCATATCGCCATTTTCGTATTAACAGAAATTGTTTTGTATAGCATAAGAAACATCGGTAGTCTTTGACGCAAACTTGTCCGGTGCAAAATTGTCGATCACTTTTTATCGATACCTACATCGATTGTTTTCGATGTTAATCGAATCGATTGGAGGGGTACACGATTTATCGATTCGAGATTCGAATAATAAAATATGAATGTGTTGTGTTATTTTGCGTTGGGGTAGGTGTTTAAAGAATGTTTTCATTTACTTGTTTAAATATAGAATAGGTGTACCTAATTCAAATGATAAGTAGGTTTTCTTTCCAAAGTTGTCAATGAAACCGTTTTTTAGATATTTCCTTCTTGATGAGATAAAACAAAGGTACGTTATGGAGGACAGATTCTTAACGGAATTCGAGACACAAATTAGCGTTTGTTGAATTAAACGTCATATCTAGGCATTATCTTCATTCGAACAACAAAACATTCAATGCTAAACCTAAGCCTTCACAATGACCTCCAGACAAAATGTTTGGAATTGGAACCTAAGTCACTTCCAGCGACTGCCCGGGAGCTCTCCTTAGGTACCTACTGTAGGCAGGTTCTAACTAGTCGTGGTAGGCCAATAAATAAGTACCTATATATTTTCAGTAAAAAAATCACATATCCAGGTTCTAAGAATAAGTCGATTCAACTTATACCTAAGTATTAATTATCAGTTATAATAAATTTTAAAGCTTTAAAACATATTAAGGATGAATAAATAAATACTTATGACTAAAGAAAACAAATTGGATGCAGTCTGTGGGTTGCGATAAAGGGGATGTGTGATGCGCATGCGTTGACAATATTAAAAACAAAATGGCGGATCGTAAAATTTGAATAGCCGCTTTGCATTGTACGAGACACAGTTTTTAACTATTAAATTTTTAATGTAAGTGTCATCACGTTCTGCAAGAAAAGACAGAGACATCTAATAAATGTTATTTTGTTTTTTCTTTCTTTTGTAATGCATTTGACTGCTTGATGAAGTGACTGAATCTATACAAGTAGACACAGGTTTTTAATTTTCTAAACAAGAAAATTCTCAAGTTGACACCCGGTTTCCGAAAGGCCGATCAATGTTAAAATCAATTTAATCTCTTGTCAAGTCATCTGATTGGTTGACTGAATTATGAACAACTAATCAGATGACTTGACAAGAGATTTGACACCTAATTAGTTGATTATAACATTGATCGGGCTTTCAGAAACCGGGCATATGTCATTCAAAATACCTACAGTTTTTATATTGTTTCCTAAACCTGCCCCTAGAACCGGGAGCGTAGTTTCCTACCGAATTTTGGAGCTTTCATCCCAAATATTACTTACGAAGCTTTTTTCATATTTTGGTTAAAATATATTTTAATCCGTTGATAGAAAAAATAACTTTATTTTTTTGTGATTGATCGCGATTGTGGTGTCAATAGAGTAATAAAATTCTACTAAGTAGGTAATTAAAATGTTAATAATAAATAAACACAACAAGGTAGGTACTTATTTGATTAAGTTTGTACTTACTTTACTTTACTTTAAGATTTTTATTACTTTGATCCTAAGAAAATTATAATCGGTTTGTTGTGTATAATAGCTAGGTACCTATTACTAGGTTTTTTAAGTGGGAACAAATGTTTACTTATAGTAAGAAAACCCAATTTGTCGTTTTAATTCAAAAATCTACCTAAATACACGAATGTACCTATACTTAAAGCACAAAAAATGCTCAACACTATCCATAGTTTTTATTCACTTACCTTAAGGAAACGCACCCGATCGAAAGTCCGTAGGTACTTTTATTGAAGTTACTTTTAAGTTAGTTTTATTCCCTGTAAGTCTAGTCTCGGTCTTTCAAACTTGAGAAAATCTGGGAAAACCCGGACAGATGGCAGCCCTATTACTTTTCCTGTAACAGGCCTATCGAAAAGGAAATGTGTGTGTAGAGCCTAGAATATCAATTAAGTAATTACTTGCATAACTATAATATTTTCCTGTATCTTGTTTGTGTACAAATCACTTCATAGTTTAAAACAAAGTCGCTGCCTCAGTCCCTATTAATCCACCTAGCAAACGAGCTGTCGGATAACCTGATGGTAAGCAATCAGCGCCGCCCATGGACACTCGCAACAACATATGAGTTACGAGTGCGTTGCCGATCTTTTGGGGATTTGCTGATGATGATTTGATTAACAACCCACAAAAAGCCGGCAACGCACTTGTAGTAACACCTTAAGTATTAAGATTGCTAAAAATCAAGTAATGCCATTTTGCCCACCTATACCATAAAAAAAGAATCGAGTGATCGACTTTTCTGACGCCTGCAGAACCCATTACTTAACGCGACACGGGTAACGAACTCTATGTTTAACGTTCAACAGCAGAGCATGCGACCATACCCTAAGGATGCGTACAATAATTGCTTTAATAGCAACAATAAATGGAATATGAGTGAACAATTTATTGTAAATAAAGAATTAATTGATATACCTAAGTATGAATAAATAATTAATTTGATAATTATAATCTTTTTAAGTATGGGAGAGCCATGCTTCGGCACGAATGCGTCGTCCGACCGGAGTGATGGATACCATGGCCCCGCAGGAAACAGGCGTGAAACAACCTCAGCGTTGTTTCGCCGTGTGAGTTAGGTTACCAGAGGCCCAATCCTTCCCCTCCCCCAATCCCTAAATCTCCACATCCCTGATCCCTAAAATGTCGGTAACGCACTCGTAACTCCTCAGTTGCGGTTTCCATGGGTGGCGCTGATTGCTTACTGTCAGGTAAATTAGTCTGCTCGTTTGTCGACCTATTACCTACCTTAAAAAAAAGAAATATTTAAGTACGAAGGATGGCTACGAATGTGCAAATAAAACGCATATTTCATAAAATTTTGTGACGTAACGAAACTCAGGCGCAGCACACTTAAAAAATTTCACGTGTAAAAATCGCGCGACATACACACTATCGCAATTTCACACACACATGTAGAGCGTCCGCTGTGTACAGACACTCTGTTTATGTGTGCGTCGACGTTGTTGCACGCGATCGTAGCGCAGCCACACGCAGTCGAGGACCTTTATTAGTGTGCACTTTTGCGCAATAAACTGCAATAAATATATCGTTGGTAGGTTTTTTTTTCACTACACAAACATGTTTAATGTATTCAGCTATTTCTCTATTAGCATTAGTTATTTGTAACATAACAGTCAATTTGCCGCAATAGTTTGTTAATAATGATTTAAATTGTGTTTCAGTTAGTGTGTAGCTAAAAATTGTAAAGGAGTTAAAAATAATGATCGTAAAATTTGATAATTAAATAGTAGGATCTAAAGAATCTCTATTTCTATTAGAAACAAATAGAATTTTCGAAACTTTCAAGAATTTTAATGAGATTGATTTTACTTTTAGTAGGTAAACTTTCACTTTTAAGTAGTAAAATAGTAAAGTAATTGTTAAACAACAAATTCTATAAAAAATATCTAAACAAAATTTATTAAATTACGAAAAAACTGATAACAACTTAAGTAATTAGGTACAGCGATAAGAAAGAGAGCAAGGCTTTGCAAAAAAATACGTCGACTGCATCACGTAAACACTAGGTGGGCTAGATGTAACATCACAGATAGTATACCGCAACTTTCTACTATTTCTAAATACAGGCTAAAAAGTTAAACTTTATGAGTTATTGTCAGATACATTTTGTTTGAAAACAAAGTGAACTGTGAAACACTACAGACCTACATAGTTGACACTTTGCAGTTAGAGTTGCCCTGAGAGTTTGTCTAAGTGAATTAACTTAAACTCTCCAAAGATTACAAATATCATCTACGAATCTCTTAGATAATTTATGTTGAAAAAATTGCATAGTTGCATGCGGGCACAGTAATAAATGCAGTAGCGCGACGGGGTGGGGCGCGGGGCGGGGCAGAGCGTGCCGGCGGCGGGGGCAAGCAGTCGCATCGTGACCGCGCGCCGCACCGCGTGTGCGCTCGTTTCGTGCCCGACAAATTCGCCGCGAATACGGCCGAAAACGAGGGCCAAGCCATGGCGTCCGTGGGCACGTGGAGGCGCCGCACGCCCGACGACCGCGAGGAGCGCTCCGAGCTTGGCGCCTCCAGCTCGGCGGTGCCGCGTGCGCCGCCGAACTGCGCGCGCTGTCGGAACCACCGTCTCAAGATAGAGCTGAAGGGCCACAAGCGGTACTGCAAGTACCGCAGCTGTACTTGCGAGAAGTGTTTACTGACGGCAGACCGGCAGCGAGTGATGGCTGAACAGACTGCTGTTCGGCGAGCCCTGGCGCTGGACGAGGCGCGTGTTCGTGCTGGGTTGCCGGCGAACGGCGACGAGTTGGAGCAGCCGGAGCCGCCGGTGGTGAAGGCTCCACGCAGCCCAGTGGTGCCGCCGCCGCGCTCACTGGGCTCAGCCAGCTGTGACTCGGTGCCGGGCTCGCCAGGAGTGTCTCCGTACGCGCCACTGCCGCCCTCCATACCGCTGCCGCAAGCGATGCCTCCTCTGCTGCCGCCACAACAACCGGGTTAGTGAATTTCTCTCTCAAGTGAAGTTATACATTTAATTTAAAACAAAATCAGTCAGACCGTGTATTCTTACATATTAATTGATAGTTTCCGCGATTATCTTTCCGATGATCTTCATTAAACATGCATTTGTCATGTGATGGAGTGTAATGTTCAGGTAACCTTTTGATTTATTACAATGAATGCAATGATTACTTACATCTTTATCACAACTAGGAATATTCTCTCATCTTATCAGTTAGATAGGTGCTCCCTTGAGCCGACAACCGCGTCTCAAATGAAAGCAACAGTACAATGTTTTACCGTAAATAAATCTACAAAATTAAAAAATACTATTAATGTATTATACTACCTAATCAAGATCCAATAAAATTATTTTATTTCTTAAATGAGTACCTATTACCTATAAGCAAATTACTAATAAATAGAGTCAGCGCAGTATCTATCAATTTAAATCGAAATATTAATCTTCATAAAAATTACCCAATTAAAAAAAACATTATTTTGACAGTCATTGCATCGGATGCGATAATCCAAAAAGGTATTAAGATAACAGATCACAGTATTATAATATCCATCTCAATGTAGATACGATTTTCCTACACTAGTATTACTGTCATCAGTTGTCTACTAGGCCCATACACGTGGAAGAATATCGTAGAGTACATACCTACTTTAAACTACTTAATATAATAATTACTATAATACTTCTACTATAAGTATGGCTAGTATTGTAATGATATTACAACCTCCTTGCTGATGTATTACTTAATAATATAATAAGTAGTTATCCGTTTAACAAAATCTGTGATGATAAATCTTGTATCACTATTAGGCCTATTTAATTATAATGCGGAATGTGATACTGAACGAATTTGAACGCAGTTATCACTGTTTATTTTATTTATAAATACTATAATACTTATTGTTACTATATTTCGTTGATTAAGGTCTGATTTTCAATATCCAGATAAAAGTTAATTAATGAATAAAATTGTTGCTGTCACTGTCTTATAGGTACAAAGAATCTGACGCGACAATATCATAATTATTCCCCAGATAACTTTTATGTAACCATTGAAAAATCAGCCCTAAATCAACTGCCTGGTCTATTTAAATTTAATCGCGAATTAATTAACTCTTCTCCATTTAATTGCTTCATTATTCGCATGCTATGTTCGTAATTGTTAAGTAAGAAATCAGTCACTATCTAGTACCTATTTAGTAATTATACTTGTAGTTACATTTCTTGCGCTTCCGTAATTTAAAAACACGAATATTTCATAGCGGATTCACCAGCAAAATTAAGGTAAAAAAGTATACTGTGTTATTCCAGATTATGATCTATCTGTGTGCCAAATTTCATTCAGATACGTTCAGTAGTCTTGGCGTAAAACAGAAACGAAAACTAATCGCGTTTATAATATTAGAAGAATTTTTTTTGAGATTAAAAGTATTTTCTGTATTGTGAGAGCTGACTTAGGAATTGCACATTTCAAGACCTTGAACCTTTTAAATTGCGATCTCCCCCCCCCACATCTCCTATTTAGAGGAGGCCCAATATCCAATTGTGGACTGACGACTTGACGATGCCTTGTTTAGCATCTTTATCTTTAACATCATAATTTTATCGAATCCTTTTGTTGATGGTCGAATTATCTACTAAAAACATAGTAAAACAAAATCAAAATGTATTAATTGGAAATAATGATCCACTTAAAATTAAACTTAAAAAAATATTGCAACTAACATTGAAGTAAACTAGCGATAATAAGCTCACTGAGCAAGTGACTCGACTAATGTAAACGAGGCTTAGTTTATAGATATTTCATTTTACATTTGATGCAGGCAAAATGATTGATTGATTCTACGTGGGTTGTCGCGTATAAGATCTAGATTTCCATGAACTTGTACAATTTTAAACACATACACTTGCAGTTTTCCGTCTTTCGTTTAAAATATAGAAGTATTTGTTAAAAATTGTTCGAAATAATTTTTGCAGCGGTAATTGGGCGGGAGTGGAGAATGTAACCGGTTCTTTCTCCTGCTCTATGCTGGGATCGCAGTTCATAATAGTACTTGCATTTGCAGTTTAGGCTAGACATCAGCTCTAGTGGATCCCAATTATGGTAGTCTGGTGGCTCTATGTGCAATGCGCGCAAAATGTGACGCACCTCACGCACGGGTCTGGTTCTGATCGGGCGGCGAGTTACCCTTCCGTCCGGAGAACCGCGCTAACAGTACCTACTGGAGATTGTTTCTCTGTCCCCAACGGATGCCCGGAGCGTCTCCTGCGATGGCTAGGACGTGATGAGGAACGTTATTGCACGCATGACTGCTTCACAGAAGGAGTCGGCTTTCGAATTCCTCTCGCTTCAAACTATGGTATGAACTAAGTCGGGCGCGAGAGGTCAGGTCAAGCAGGGCTCCGACCGACCTTAAATCTATATCACAGTGATTAAACAGTTCATTTCTGTTGGTCTTTCTTAACTTAAGGGTTAGTTAAGGTAAAAGCTAGCCTTGGATTTTTTAAACCCGAATTATGCCATTTTATATCGCCTAGGGTACGCTAATTTCTACTTAGGCACTTAAGATATCTGCCGTTTATAAGCGACGAAGAGCTTCATTGTAGGTGAATATTGGTAAAAGCCAGATCATTCAATCATTAAAAATGATTCTGAAACTAGGGTTTTTAAAAGTCATAATACCAATACGTTATTACTAGTTCATTTCAATTAAGACGTCAAAAAAGGAACGAGAACTGGAAAAATAAAATTCAAACATGTTAGAATGAAGAAGGGGAAAGAAAAAGTGTTCTTTATTTTAAAAAAAGAATACAATATGGAACAACGTTTGAAAGTAAGAAAACTCGAAGAAAACAAATACCTAGGTAGAAACTAGAACTAGAAAAAAAATATCGTTAGTTCTTATTTTGAAAAATAGAAATAAAAGTTTCGTATTTTACAGACAACCTTCTTGGTTGCCTATTACTTAAAAATTCAGTTCATAGATATTATTACAGATTTTTTTTTATAAAATGTTTTTTAATATGAACGTAGTCATTGAACACCGTATTTAGTATTCCATTGTATTTATTGTAGTTAATTAAAACAGAATAATAGAAATAACAAGGTTTTTTATGATGAATTGTAGTCACCGCTTTATATTTTTAAACCATTGATTCTTTATTTTACAGTTATTTTAACTCGTAAAATCAAAATATGTACATTTATGAAACTCTTCAGTTACTTGTGACAGGTGTGCCGTGTGATATAGCTAAAGCACAAAATATTATGTTAGCGTTTCTACAAAGCTACGCTTTGAATGACTCTCTGGAAAAGGGCTAATCAATAAGAGGTTTTCATATGCAAATTCAATGAAAAAGTCACTTTTAGCAACGAGTAATTTATGTATCAACAAATAAAACGGCTTATAAACTAATAGTTTTTCAAGAACGTATTCCAAACAAACCTCACTTTTTTCCAAATTTCATTCGATATAGTATGGTGGACGTAATAAAAGTTAAATGACAATGCCCAATCAATATTATCACTTTTCCTGTCACTATTATTTCCATAGCTGCGTTTCTTTACCCCAAGGTAATATTTACGCGGTTGTGGCTCACCCCTATAATGACATAACAAGGGGTACAGATTATACAGACGAATGTATTATTTATTTGTCAATGTCAACTTCTATTGCAAAGAAAATGGGTACATAATTGAATAATGCTAATGCTTAGTCATTACCCCGGACAGTTTTCATTGTTAGAAATTATTTATAAGTAACGTATGAAGTTATTTTGTCGATTTCCGTTTGCTAGTTTTTTTTGCTGTGAGTGAGTGGTACGTATAATTTTCTATTTCTTTGCCATAGGTTTTGGTCTTGTCTTTGGTCGGATTGTGATAAGTTTAATTGGGATTTTTGACCAACCAGATTATTTATTTCAATAAAAAATAATGAAAAAATCACTTATCACCTCAATAATGAAAACTTCACGTTAATAAGACTACGATACAAAGGATGCAAAGAAGTTCCTTTTTCTTGGTTTTCGAGTTCGGACTTGGTACCTAAACCCTTTTAAAATATGTCCTAATTCTTTATTAAGTACATTTATTTATAAACCTAGCCCTTTTTATAAAATGTCTAAATATAGACCAAACCATTACCGAACACGGCATTAAGAAGGTAACCAACAGAAAAACTTATAAATTCAAAAGTTTTTCTTGAACGGCTTCGTTTTTAGCCACTATAATATAACTCTGATAGTTTTGACACAATTATGACAAATTTTCAACTTTAAAAAAAACCCATTGCTAAAAGGTTACATACGATCTAAATATTTATGTAAACCAAACGAATTAGTTACTAATGACATGCAATTAGATTAAATTTAAACACTCTGACGTTATCAATGTCATTCGTATTGACACAGCAACTCTTATCATTTGCTTATAAGTTTGATTAAAGCCATGCAACGTACATTATTAGCTATCAAGATAAAATTATTTGAGTTATCAAACAAGGTATTTAGTTGTATTAATTTGAATCATTTTTGTTTGACAATAGATTATTTTATTTGTTTTGTTTTTAAGTATAAGATCTTCTGTTTGTGTAGGTTATGGATAAAAAAGATTTGTTATCTGTTTTAAGTTTGTCTATGGTGTGAGCTAAATAGCATAGACACGAGAATGTCAAATCGAATGAATTGAAAATGTACCTATGGAAAGAAATATGACAACAAATTATAAGTCTACCTACATCAATCTTATTCGCCGACTTTACTCTTTATTCGATTAAAAAGAATTTGTTTGAGAAGAAAAAAAAAACGATTCTATGGTCGTATCGTCCTTAGTATGCCATAACCAAACTTTAATAGAGATTTTAATTATCTTTTATCAGATGTGTCTCAATTTAGCGGTGAAGACAAGCCAACACAACATGTGCAAGATAGGGTCTTACCAGGTCCTGTCACGTCAGTCACGTTAACCTGAATCGCGGACC